TCCAGTGAGACTGTGATAAAGGTCAGGCCTATATGTCTGATCAGGATTACCAGTGAAAAAATAAAAAATTATTGTAAAGTGATATTTACAGCATAAATAAAAAATTATTGATTATTTACAAATATTAACAAATCCTGCTATCCATGAAAGGACCAGCATAGGGATATCCCTCTTTTCCCTTACATCTAATGCAGAGAGTTATAGGAAGGCAGCGAATGAAAACCCTTAATTCAGTCCTGCTGGGGAGAGGGTCTTCAATTTATAAATCCAATAGGACTCACGTTGTCTCAGCTTTTTATCCCAATCCCCCCTTTGTTGGGTTTGTGGGATGTGTTCTATTCCCATAAACCTGCGGTTTTTTTTAGGAGTTTTTGTGATATATTTTGAGATGGCGTGAGATCTGGGATTCCAGAGGTCTTCTCACTGAATTGACATGCTTCCTAATTCTGAGTTTTAGGGGTCTAAAAGGTTTTTCCCACATATTTTATTCCGCAAGAGCAAGTGAGTAGATAGATCACTCCCTCCATCCGACAATTAAAGAAAGAATGGACTGGGAGTGTTTCTTCATTGTTACTGTCAGTGAACTGTTTAGAGTTTTTTTCAATATGTTCACATGCGCTGCAGTGTCCGCATTTGTACGTGCCCTTGGGTAGGTAATGCTTAGATTGTTTTTTCAAGGGGGCTGAGTGACTTTGTACTAAAGTGTCTCTCAAATTTCTGCCTCTGCGTGCAGTCACTGAGGGGAATGGAGTGATCACATGTTTGATATGTGGGTCTGACATTAGAATCGGCCAGTAGCGTCTGAATGTGCCCATCATATAATCCCAGCCTGCATCATATGTGGCTATGCAGCGAATTAATTTTTGATCCGATATTGGTTTGTGGTCATCAGTGAGTAGTGAATCTTTATCGATTCTGATTGCTCTGGTGTAAGCCATCCGTAGAACCCTCTTTGGATAGCCCTTCTCTTTAAAGGCTTTTCTAAGGTCCCAAGCCGTAGTTTTAAAATCCTCAGTAGTAGAGCAGTTCCACCTAAGTCTATTGACCTATCGGTATGCCTGCTTTTAGTGGTTGTGGGTGATAGCTAGTCCAGTTTAGTAAGCCATTGGTGGCTGCTTTCTTCCGATACAACGTGGTTGTTATCTCCTCCTGGCTGTATTGCGATGGTTATATTGAGGAAATTAAGTTGTTTTCCACCCATCTCACTGGTGAATCTCAAATTAAGGTCATTCACATTAAGGAGTCTTACAAAATCATCAAAACCTTTATTAGACCTTGTCCAAACAATGAGAACATCATCGATATACCTTTTCCAGCAGTGTATCGTGCATAAGTAGGTGTAGAGGGGGATCTGCTATGATGTGCTTCTCCCATGCTCCTAATTAAAGGTTTGCATAAGAGGAAGTGCAAGACTTTTCCATGGCTGTCCCTTTTACTTGTTGGTATATGGTGCCATTGAACAAAAAGATATTCTTAGTGAGGATCATTTTGAGTAAATCAGACACAAAATCTATCTATATGGCTATGGGCTTAAGCTCTTGTTCTAGTATGATTCTAATGTTGTTTATTCCTAGTGTGTGCGGTATGGAGCTATACAATGACTCCACATCCAAGCTGCACGGTGAAGCTTGCTCCGGTATGGAGATGTCCCTCAGGAAGTTCAACATTTGTTTGGTGTCCCTAATATATGATAGTAGTTTAGAGACAATGGGGGACAAGATTTTATCCAGATATATACTCAGATTCTAGGTTAAATTGCCACCCCCTGATACAATCGGTCTGCCTAAAAGGAACCTCTAAGGATTTATGAACCTTTGGTAAGCTACAAAATGTGGAGAGTATTGGTTGTTTTATTAGCATGAAACCAAATTCATTTTTGGTGATTAACTTGTCTGCAAAAGCTTGATTAAGGGTGGTCTTGATCTCTATGAGATATTGTGGAGTGGGATCATGGCTCAATGTTTGGTATATGTCCTTATCATTCAGCAACCAATATACCATCTGTGTATAATAAGGATGGTCCATAAGCACTATATTTCCACCCTTGTCGGACGTTTTTATCACCAATTTATCATTTTCCTTTAGTTGCTTCAATGCTATTTTCTCAACTCTAGAGAGATTACCACTGGGTTCAAAATCCAAAATTCCCAAACCAGCCTTTTCAATATCCCTACATACCATGTCCAAGAAAACCTCAATGTTTTTATAGTCTTTGAAATGAGGTGTAAATCAGCTTTTAGGAGTAAGATTGGTAGTAGGGATAGTATTGTTTCTGGAATCATCATTAGAGTCAAGGAGTTCAACTAAGGTTTCTAGACAGTCCATATCTTTAATTGTCAGTCCCATGCTTGACGCTCTCAGTTCTTTCTTATGTGTATGGTATTTGTGTGGGGCTAGCTTACGGGCAAACAAATGTAAATCTTTGGTCCCTTTTTCCTGTCCTGCGTTTATTCCTGTTTCCCCTTAGGACTATTAAAGGTAGGGCTACCCTTCCCCACTATTTTTGTTTACTCTCCCAACTAGGACCTTCCAGTCCACACTTGCATAATCCTAGATGGCTATTCATCCTACTAGTAACAAAACAGAAACAATATAATGTTTAACATCTTGACATTTTCTTTTTGGGAAGCAAATAATTAGGACCCCCCAGGCTGACAACATGATATCACCCACACCAAATGTGCCATTGTAGTTACATACCTATTCACATAAGGTATGTGCATTGTATGCATGTGGCTTTATCATTTGTATGTTATGCCTATACAAAAAGACATACTTACACATATTTCTTACACTAGTGGAGGCCAAAATGTGCATCCCAAGTTTAAAAATGATCATAGGAGTTTTTCTAAAACCTCTAGGGATATAACATTTGCTCTCCACTGTCTTAGTCATATGCCATACAATACTGGCAAAATGTATCATTATTATTATTATTATTATTATTATGTTATTTATATAGAGCCGTCAAATTCCGCAGCGTTTTAGAATATAAAGATATTTCTAAGAGAACAATAGAGCACCTACAACACGACACTCACTGATACTAACTTTAGAACTTTATCTTGATGTTACAATATCATCTGATTAGTGGATGTATTAAGTGATCAGAGGCCTAAAAAGAATTCATTCAAATTCCTTGTATTAGATGTCAAATTCAATACTATATGGACATCTGTTGATAAGATGGTGTTTATTAGTTAAAACCTATTAATCAATATTTGAGATAAATGAACATATTTGTATTTCCGCTGGGAAGAGTTCTCAATATGAAACAATCAGCATAAAAACTAACAGAGTTTTTATGATGACTACACACTACCTAGCACTGTTTTCCTTTGATTTAAAAAAAAAAAAAAAAGAAAAAAGAAACCTTTACTTGTTCTGAAAGCTAGAGGATTCAGTTTTCGAATTGCTGATACAATGTAGCACAACAGTAATTAAGAATTTAAAAGTCACTCATCACAACTGAGACACATTAGAAAAGTGTATATGAAAACAAAAATAACAACAACAAAAAACTGTGAAAAAAAAAAAAGATCTACATTACCACAGTTATGAAATTACACAGTTGGGTGGAGCAACCCAGAAATATTAGAAAGGAATGAGGGGAAGAGAGTAAACAACAAGAGAGAGAGAGAGATAGGGAGAGAGAAAGCTAAACAATAGAAGTAAAAAATTGGATAGAGGATGGGGGATGCTTAAATAAGGAATTAAATAAGTGTTGGCAGTACTAAACTAGGCTAAAAACCACTAAACCTAGGGACAATATTATGTTTTTGAAAGGGAAAGTACTGCGCTATTCCTGATGAGAATGCATCAAAAGTAAGATTGTTAAGATTGTCATAAATAATAGAGAACCTCATTTGCCTCTAAACAGGATTCTGGTGTGTGCACAGCTCACCATATAAGGTGCCTCTTCATGTGTCTTGCAGTTGGGTCTCATTTGTTTATCTTCAGTGCTGCTTCTCCCAGAGCTGGGATTTTCATACACAATTATTTTAAATATGTTTTCTGATTTTAAACAGGGAGCAATGAAGTGTTAAAGTGGTTTATTATCATTATTATCATCTTTAGCATTTATATAGCGCCAACATATTCCGCAGCGCTTTACAATATTAAGAAAGGGGGAAATTTAACAATAGATGAGACAATTACAAAATGTTACAGGGACTACAGGTTGATGAAACCCCTGCTCTAGATAGCTTTTTAGAAAATAAGTCACTGTTTGGTGGCTGTCACCCTTGCTGGTATCGGGAAGTATTACTTTACTGAGAGGGTAGTGGATGCATGGAATAGCCTTCCAGCTGAAGTGGTAGAGGTTAACACAGTGAGGGAGTTTAAGCATGCGTGGGATAGGCATAAAGCTATCATAGACTTAAGATAAGGCCAGGGACTAATTAAAAGTATTTCGAAATATTGGGCAGACTAGATGGGTCGAATGGTTCTTATCTGCCGTCACATTCTATGTTTCTGCCCTGTTGTATATTTGTATTCCACCTTGTCTAGACTGTAAGCTCGTTTGAGCAGGGTTCTCATCTACCAATTCTTCCTGTGTTACTGTGTAATTGTCTCATGTAAATTTCCCCCGATTCATAATATTTTAAGGGCTGCAGAATTAGTTGGTGCTATATAAATATCAATAACAATAATAATAAAGAATACCAGCGTTTAGCTTTTTGTACTACAAGCATTTTAATTATCAAATTGCAACTTATTAGTACATTTTATAAGGAAGCGAAACATTATTCATTAACATTAACATTTTAGAGAGCTGCTCGGCAAATTGCAAAGTGTAGGCTAAAATAACCAAGCAAATATTAAAGTTGAGCTCTTTTCCAAATAACTATTCTTTTTGCCTAACATCTCAAATAGGTTTTTTTCAAATTATACACTGCTCAAAAAAATAAAGGGAACACTTAAACAACACAATGTAACTCCAAGTCAATCACACTTCTGTGAAATCAAACTGTCCACTTAGGAAGCAACACTAAGTGACAATCAATTTCACATGCTGTTGTGCAAATGGGATAGACAACAGGTGGAAATTATAGGCAATTAGCAAGACACCCCAATAAAGGAGTGGTTCTGCAGATGGTGACCACAGACCACTTCTCAGTTCCTATGCTTCCTGGCTGATGTTTTGGTCACATTTAAATGCTGGCGGTGCTTTCACTCTAGTGGTAGCATGAGACTGAGTCTACAACCCACACAGGTGGCTCAGGTAGTGAAGATCATCCAGGATGGCACATCAATACGAACTGTGGCAAGAAGGTTCGCTGTGTCTGTCAGCGTAATGTCTAGAGCATGGAGGCGCCACCAGGAGACAGGCCAGTACATCAGGAGACATGGAGGAGGCCGTAGGAGGGCAACAACCCAGCAGCAGGACCGCTACCTCCGCCTTTGTGCAAGTAGGAACAGGAGGAGCACTGCCAGAGCCCTGCAAAATGACCTCCAGCAGGCCACAAATGTGCATGTGTCTGCTCAAATGGTCATAAACAGACTCCATGAGGGTGGTATGAGGGCCCGACGTCCATAGGTGGGGGTTGTGCTTACAGCCCAACACCGTGCAGGACGTTTGGCATTTGCCAGAGAACACCAAGATTGGCAAATTCGCCACTGGCGCCCTGTGCTCTTCACAGATGAAAGCAGGTTCACACTGAGCACATGTAACAGACGTGACAGAGTCTGGAGACGCCGTGGAGAACGTTCTGCTGCCTGCAACATCCTCCAACATGACTGGTTTGGCAGTGGGTCAGTAATGGTGTGGGGTGGCATTTCTTTGGGGGGCCGCACAGCCCTCCATGTGCTCGCCAGAGGTAGCCTGACTGCCATTAGCAGGGCCGGTGAAAGGATTTTTGCCGCCCTAGGCAAAAGTAAAGTTTGCCGCCCCCCCATGTGACATCACAATGCCCCACCCATATGATCTGCCATGTTAACTAACGCCAGTGCTGCAGTCAATGCTGCATTGCCGCCGTGTTTACATTAAAAGGCCTGCAGGGACAGGCTATAGACACCAGAACCACTACATTAAGCTGCAGTGGTTCTGGGGACTATAGTGTTTCTTTAATGTGAGGTAAATTAGAGATTAGTGCCACGAATAATATACTAGATTGCCTACTTACAACCAGATGATGATGATGGGCTCTAGCTGCAGTCTGGCTCCACTGGTCTGGTGTAGAACAGGCTCTCTGGAGGCTGTTTGTAACTGTGGTCACAAAAATCAATGTTCTGGGAGAACGGGAAGCAGCTCCATTTTTTGGGGGCCCTTTACACAGCTCAAGGTCTGGGTCCCAGGGTCCACCTTCATGTTCCACCAATGAGTTTGTTCACAGGGGGTGGAGTGTGTAGGGGATGTCCTGATATGTGTGTAAGGAATGCATTGTGTGAATCTGTGTTTGTATGTGTAAGGGCTGCAAGATGTGTTTCTGTGTATGTACGGGATGCAGTGTGTGAGTCTGTAAGGGATGCATTGAGTGTTTGTAATGAATGCATTGTGTGTTTCTGTGTGTGTAAGGGATGCATTATGTGTAAGGGTTGCATTGCTTGTGTATGTGTTTCTGTGTGTGTAATGCATTGTGTGTTTTTCTGTGTGCAAGGGTTGCATTGTGTGTGATTATGTGTATGTGATCGATGTCAATCTCTCTCCCCCCTCCTTGTCACACTCTCTTTCTCCCCCCTCCTTTTTAACTCTCTTTCTCCCCCTCCTCCTTGTCTCTCTCTTTCTCCCCCTCCTCCTTGTCTCTCTTTCTCCCCCCCACTTGTCACTCTCTTTACTCCTCCCCCCACTTGTCACTCTCTTTCTCCCCCCCTTCCCAATTTCATGCTCCCCTCCCCCCTACCTCAGTTGTAGCGTGGCCGAGCCCTCTATAGTCCGCGGGTACAGGGACTTTTGTTCCCTGTACCCGCGGACTATACAGGGCTCGGCCACGCTACAACTGAGGGAGTGACAGGAGGGAGCGCTGAGCGCTTCCCTCCTGTCAGCCACTCTCCTCAGGCTGCGCTCGGGCAAAGCTGCAGCCGCCTGAGGCTCTCTGCAGAGCGCTCGGGCGGCTTCAGCATGAGGGGTGCCGGCGCTCCTGGCGGCGCCCCTTCCCAAGGGGCGCCCTAGGGGGCTGCGTAGTCCGCCTAACAGGTAGCACCGGCCCTGGCCATTAGGTACTGAGATGAGATCCTCAGATCCCTTATGAGAACATATGCTGGTGCGGTTGGCCCTAGGTTCCTCCTAATGCAAGACAATGCTAGACCTCATGTTGCTGGAGTGTGTCAGCAGTTCCTGCAAGACGAAGGCATTGATGCTATGGACTGGCCCACCCGTTCCCCAGACCTGAATACAACTGAGCATGTGACAGATCCCTCTGTCTTGGAACTATAGTGCTTTCCCGGTGGATTCGTGTAAGTGCCTGTCCGTACTTCCCCGTTCGTTTATTTGTTATTCTACCGAACAAACTGCGAATGGCCGGCCACCCAGAAGAGGAGTGTGCTGATGGTTAACTTATTGGCCTCTATTCGAACGTTGTGGTTAACCGCAGACACCTCCTAATTGAAACCGTATGCTGGGTGGTCGTCGTTCGTATGCCGACCATGAGGCGGCGGCCATTTTAGATGCACGAATACACAGCGGTGTTTGTCGACAAACTTATGGAACTCAAAACTGACACTTTTTCTCCCGAACACCGCTGAAACCGCCGACCTCCATTCTTTGTCACCGGCATATGAACACCGGTCCGTTCGGGACTTTTATTTCATGAATGGACTTAACCCAGATAGCCATCCCATGGAGCCCTTCGTATACCGAAAGAATAGTGTGAAAGACTTTGGCTCCATGGCGATTGAACTGTGTGTATTGGATCTGAGCGCCATTCGGTAATAATGTGCGCTCAGATCTAGGCTATCTGGGAAAACGTTATATGTATGGAATACATTCGGTAGTTTTACAGTTATGTATTTTTATGTATTTTTACTGTATTATTTAAAATGGTGTTTTGCCTCTATCCATGGAGATAATTGGATTTCTTCCCAATTATCTCCAGGACAGAGAGGAGGGGTTGCTTGTACTAAGGGGAGGGTTTATGCCTGAGCCACTGTGATTGGCTAATGTATCATACTTGTCCACCAGGTGGGAGACCAGCATAAATACCGGGCAGATAGCCCTCATTAAAGCAGATTCTGTTTTACCCTCAAGACGGAGCTCGGTCTCGTGTTTGGGGGGATTTCTACTTTGGAGTATTCTTTCACCTGTTCCAGGAGAGAAGGAGTTCGTATGATTCTCTGTTCTGGAGTTTGGAGCATTCCCTTGTATTCCATTTGGGAGTTTGGCGGTCTACAGCAACAGTGCCTGTGTCTCTAAAGGGGGGAAGATCTACTAAACGGCGGTTTCACTCATTTATGCCGGGAGTGTCTTAACAGAGCACATCTGGGACATCATGTCTCGCTCCATCCACCAATATCACTTTGCACCACAGACTGTCCAGGAGTTGGCAGATGCTTTAGTCCAGGTCTGGGAGGAGATCCCTCAGAGACCATCCGCCACCTCATCAAGAGCATGCACAGGCATTGTAGGGAGGTCATACAGGCACGCGGAGGCCACACACACACTACTGAGCCTCATTTTGACTTGTTTTAAGGACATTACATCAAAGTTGGATCAGCCTGTAGTGTGTTTTTCCACTTTAATTTTGAATGTGACTGCAAATCCAGACCAAACCAGATCCAGATTTCCATTTTTGTTATTTTTGTGTGATTTTGTTGTCAGCACATTCAACTATGTAAAGAACAAAGTATTTCAGAAGAATATTTTATCATTCAGATCTAGGATGTGTTATTTTTGTGTTTCCTTTATTTTTTTTTTGAGCAGTGTATTTCAATGTCTAGTGAATAAACCCTTTACAAAACGCAAAGAAATGTTATAATCTTGCCAGTTTTCATGTGATGTTCACAGCAACATGAAATCAGTTTAACAGTTTTAGTAATTATGTCACAAACTAGACTTCTGTTAGACACCAATATTGTATCACACTTTACCAAAATGTATAAACTTTTAAAATGGGCTCAACGGCTGAAAGTGAAGCAGTCACCATGGAAACCAGTGGAATGATAATTCAGAATGCTCCACTTTTAAAAGTGTTACAATATGTGATGTAAAAAGGTCACCTTTTTAACATGTGATTTGTGACAAACTCCTTAATTCATAATTAAATAACATGCCTGGTCCTTTTTTAATGCTATCATTTTATAGACCTGTGCTGATACATAAAACAATTATAACAGTTGAGCAATAAGCAGTACCATTATTGTGCTTTCCTTGGAAACTGCTCTACTAAATTGTTCCCCAGTTTTGCACCACTTGCCTCACAGAAAACAAACAGTGCATTTGTGTGATACCTCTAATTTTTGTTATGAATGCATGCCTCAGCATGAAATAGATAGTAGGATGTTCATTTTGTGATAAATTGTATCACTGTTTGTAAAGATACTGCTACTTCACAACATTGATACGTCATGAGCCATGTCATAGACCTATTTTATCTCAGTTACTAGAAATAGACATTTTATTTACAGCCCAAAGGAGGCTCCTTTTTCACTATTTACTTGGCAGACAGCATGTGTGTGTGAAATCAATAGGTGACAGGAGGGAAAGATTTGGGCGGGAAAATAGTGCAAGAATCTGGAGCATGTGTCATGGCATGACTCTCAGCCAGCCACTGGGATAAGGTGCTGGTATCTACATGCCATGACTCTCAGCTAGCCACTGGGATAAGGTGCTGGTATCAGCATGCCATGACTCGCAGCCAGCCACTGGGATAAGGTGCTGGTATCTACATGCCATGACTCTCAGCTAGCCACTGGGATAAGGTGCTGGTATCAGCATGCCATGACTCTCAGCCAGCCACTGGGTAAAGGTGCTGGTATCAGCATGCCATGACTCTCAGCCAGCCACTGGGTAAAGGTGCTGGGATAAAATATCAGCATACTATGACTCACAGTCAGATACCGGGATAGAGTGCTGGGTCACATGACACTGAATATATAATTATACAATGTAACACGCTTTGTATTTATACTGATAAACACACAGTGCTACTACAATTACTGTTATAATCACACACTATACATCATGTACACTGCACGGATCATCGAACACTGCAAAACTATACCACACACAGTGTATATCAACACAGAACTAAACACACAGTGTATAACACCACACACTATGTATAACACAACACCACACACAGTGTATATCACCACACACAGTGTATATCACCACACACACACTATGTATATCACCACACACTATGTATAACACAACACCGCACACAGTGTATATCAACACAGAACTAAACACACAGTGTATAACACCACACACTCGGTATAACACCACACACTATGTATAACACAACACCACACACAGTGTATATCACCACACACAGTGTATAACACACTATGTATAACACCACACACTATGTATAACACCACACACTATGTATAACACCACACACTATGTATAACACAACACCACACACAGTGTATATCACCACACACAGTGTATATCAACACACACAGTGTATATCACCACACACACTATGTATATCACCACACACTATGTATAACACAACACCGCACACAGTGTATATCAACACAGAACTAAACACACAGTGTATAACACCACACACTCGGTATAACACCACACACTAACACAACACCACACACAGTGTATATCACCACACACAGTGTATAACACACTATGTATAACAACACACACTATGTATAACACCACACACTATGTATAACACCACACACTATGTATAACACACACACTATGTATCACAACACCACACACAGTGTATATCACCACACACAGTGTATATCACCACACACACTATGTATATCACCACACACTATGTATAACACAACACCACACACAGTGTATATCACCACACACAGTGTATATCAACACACACAGTGTATATCACCACACACACTATGTATATCACCACACACTATGTATAACACAACACCGCACACAGTGTATATCAACACAGAACTAAACACACAGTGTATAACACCACACACTCGGTATAACACCACACACTATGTATAACACAACACCACACACAGTGTATATCACCACACACAGTGTATAACACACTATGTATAACAACACACACTATGTATAACACCACACACTATGTATAACACCACACACTGTGTATAACACCACACACTATGTATAACACAACACCACACACAGTGTATATCACCACACACAGTGTATATCACCACACACACTATGTATATCACCACACACTATGTATAACACAACACCACACACAGTGTATATCACCACACACAGTGTATATCAACACACACAGTGTATATCACCACACACACTATGTATATCACCACACACTATGTATAACACAACACCGCACACAGTGTATATCAACACAGAACTAAACACACAGTGTATAACACCACACACTCGGTATAACACCACACACTATGTATAACACAACACCACACACAGTGTATATCACCACACACAGTGTATAACACACTATGTATAACAACACACACTATGTATAACACCACACACTATGTATAACACCACACACTATGTATAACAACACACACTATGTATAACACCACACACTATGTATAACACCACACACTTTGTATAATATCACAGACTGTGTATAACACCACACACTATGTATAACACCACACACTGTGTATAACACCACACACTATGTATAACACCACACACTTTGTATAATATCACAGACTGTGTATATCACCACACACGTTGTATAATACCACACACTATGTATAACACTACAGATAAATACATATTAATAAATAAATGTAAAAAGTACCACACAGCACCGATAACACACACACACACACTTCTTGTGTAAAACACTTTATATAACATTATATAGCAGTACACACACTATGTAGAACATAAACACACTGTATCCTACACACCACAGACAAACATTTAGAAAGTGACACAACTATTTACCACAGACAACACACACAAATTGTATGTAAAACAAACACACGGTCTGTGACCCAAACACTCAGGTTCCAGGAATAGAACGTGTGAGAACCGAGGGACACACACACTATACAATGTATTCCTATTAGAATGTACTGTCAGTGTGGGCTTTTATATATAATGATATAAGGCAGCTATCCATCTCTCTCTGATAATATGATCTATTGGACACAGATCTGTCCCATTCACAGATACATTTATTCATCAGACCTGCTGTGTACCTTATCTGCCACCACAACCTGTCCGAATTCATTTAACTCATAATGGAAAGGTTCTTCCATGAAATACCTTGATCCTTATCTGAATACATCATACTAGCTCCAAATAACTGCTAACAAACCTTTGTATTTATTATTTTCAGACAGATCTGTATTGTGCAAAAGAGAGCCTTAACTGCTCAGGTTTAATTAGGTTACACGAGCTATTTTACCCTTTATTTATACCATTTTTACCCTTTCTTATATATCATAAAGGAATCTATAAATGTCCACTTTTTTTAACACACCTGGTTTTGCTGCGCCCTCTGCAGGCTCCCCCGCAGTACTGCAAGGATGCGTCAGGGCTGCTTGCATTCAGATGTGCCTCTGGCGGTAGAATTCGAGAAGCGTTCTGAACTTTGCGCTCTTGTGCCTGTCCGACAGTGACATCATGTGGCGGCTGGTGGAACTGCAACGACTCATCTGTGGCCCAAGTCTCCACCACCTGTGCAGCAGTGGAAGTACCTTCCAGGCAAGGTGGGGAAAGCACCTCTTTGAGCAGGGTAAAATCCGGGTACACCCCATCCACAAACAGCAGCCCTTCCATGGTACATGGGGTGTTCGATCAGATCTGCAGCCTCGATTAATATGATTTGAGTTGGGTCTCAATCAGTGTGACGTTTGAGATTAAAGTATAGACCTTTAGCCTTTTTTGGGAAGGGGGGGACGCTGATCCCCTTAGGGGCTGCACAGAAACCTCTATGACTGGATCTTGGAGATTTAGGAGGCAAAACCTTCATCCCACGTGAATTCCTTTGCAAAAGTCTTTTGGATCCCTGTACAAATTAAAGTCCATGTTATGTGGATACAACCAAGAAAAAAAAAGCACTTGTTTAACCCTTTACCTGCTTATAATGCAAACCTGGTGATTTAAATAGAGAGTTCTTATACAAAGTGTTTGGCAGGTGAAGGGTTAATACGACAGGAGGGGTCAGCAAGCCCTCCCTAAATTGAATCAGCTGCTAGTTACCATCAGGACCTCCCATGTATTATGGCAGGGTCAGTCTATAAAGGGGGGTCAGGTCACAGAGCTCCATTTTATTTTTTTCCTTTGGGTATTTGGAGGAGATGGGGTAAAGGGTGTTGCTGGTTTTAAAATTCTCATCTATGTGGTTTGCCAAATGCAGATTTTTATTTTTTTTTATGACAAAAGTTTAAGCTCATCATTTTATCTTGGGTTTACACACACAAAAAAAAATGAATTGAAAGTATGAATGTTTATCAGTTATTTGTATATGTGTAAATATGGTGAATTGGAAAACTGTATTTGTTAAATTTAGGCTAACGTTGCCTGCCCTTGAATATGATAAAAGCGAAAACAAAGTTTATTTGATAAACTGAAGTGCAAAACTCAGGTTAAAACATCAAACTTGTGATTGTTGTAGCCAGCATGGAGATTTTCCCTAATTCAATATTTGCCTCAACTTAAATAATGGATGAACCCAATTTATAAATAAAATCTCATTCCAGTAGGAAGATTCCATTATTTTTTTTCTTAGTAAATTATTTTTAAATCAATTTTGGCTTACTTGCCTCTTGCACATTTGGTTTACTGTTACATTTATGGGTTTATTTACTAAACAGTGAATTGATGGAGCTAAAGTGTCACAGATATAGGTTGTGTATTTGTTTTACATATGTAATATCAGTGGTTATTGTATTGCTTTCTAAATGTTTATATGTGGTATTGTGTGCACATTTGTCTCTGGTGTTAAATGTGATAATATGGCTGATCGAGGGTGGGGGGGGGGAAGCTTGTTCCTTTTCTCTAATTTTTGCAGTTTTGTTTTTAGTTCACCATAATTCTTGGTTGAGAAAATTGTGACCCCTAAACTGAATAAATGTGCGCTTTGTAATGTGGTATTTGTGTTGAATGCCTTTTATTCTACAGTAGTACACGTCTATTGCTGTGCTTCAGGTGGGTCTGGCATCAGACTACAAGCCCCAATACCCGTAGGCACTTGGCAGCTGAATTAAGGTAATGGCAGTTCCAATAGTTTAAAGGACAACGCCAAGCACCATAGCAACTACAGTTTGATAACTTGGTGTCTGTGGGGTGTTGAGCTAAATCCTGTTGGTGTTGGACTTGGCTTATTGGCTGAGAGTGATCACTTGACACTTTCAGGCAATGACCCAGCCCTACAGGGCTTATTACAGAGAGCTGTGACTGAGACCTGGCAGACTCTGAGTAATTTGTTAAACATTGACAAATGGTTTGACTGCTAATTGTGTAAGGCACCCCTGACACTATAACCACTATAGAGCACTCTAGGGTACTTGGCGTGTTCTGTCTTCATGTTGTAGACCCATGTGAATGGTTTGACCAAAGGGTTGCCATGTGCTCTATACTTGGAGGTTGTATACAATATTAATGACTACTGCTCACTGTTATGAAAAGGTTTGATTTATCAAAGTGTCAAGTTCTGCAAAATTGCACAAAGTTCTAAAATGGAACACTCACCATGGAAACCAGCAGGTACATTTCATTGAAGACCACTCCCCTTACAAATATCTGCACCACTTTTTCAGAACTTAACACTCTGCTTCATCTCCCCCAATATAAGTATTGAATTAAATCGTTATAGAATTAGAGCAGGGGTGTGGAACCTTCGGGCCTCCAGATATTTTGGACTACATCTCCCTTGATGCTTTGTAAGGGTAATGGCTGTAAAAGTATTATGGGAGATGTAGTCCAAAACATATGGGGGGCCAAAGGTTCCCCACCCCTGCATTAGAGGTATAAAACTGATGGAGACACAGCTGAGTGGATGTTACATATGTAAGCCAGTGGTATCCAGACCAGTCCTCAGGACATGCCTACCAGTCCAGGATTTACGGATTATTCAGTTGTCAAGGGTTTTTTTGTTTTGTTTTTTTTCTAAAAACCCCTTTTTAAAAACACTGTAATCTCTAAATCCGGGACTGTTAGGCGTGATGTAGGCACTTGTGTATTGGTAAAAGTGGCCAAAATAGATCTGCTGCACCTCCCATATTTTTAGCCTCAGTTTATACACCTTGTCTTGCATATGATGAATTGCTTACCAAAATAACATCACATTTTCTTTACTTCTAGATATAATTTGTCCTTATTTTTCCAATTTAATTTTGGGTTGGTACATCTTTGAAAATTAAAATTAAATGACAACACAAAGAAAAGTGAGACTATACCGAACAGCTGTGCAGTTTTCTCATAAAACCACAAATATAATTACTATGAAACCAAGTGGGGATTATTCACTAAAAAAACACGTTAAGGAACAAAATGTAAGACAAACTAGTAGATTTGACATAAAATTGTTAAATAAAACGCTTGAAAATTCAAGTTGGGGATTATTTTTTCACTACTCTATTTTGGACTGATTTATTCAAGATTTTTGTCTGTACCTGAACATAAAGAAATTTAACAATATATTAGATGATACAAAACAAGCATGTAGGCAAGACATGGTTAAATAATGAAGTTTTAAATCATGGTTTGAAAAGGTTTATCCTGTTTTTCATAGGGTTAACTTTATCTAAAATTTTGGATGATTTTATATTCAGATTTGATAAAATTATCAAATTGTTGTGCTTATAACTAAACCATTTTATTTGGAATGTAATTTATTTAGCTATCAATAGATTGTGTAACACATTCCTTGAACCAGTTGTAGAGAAACAGCATTTATACCATGAAGTGGTTTAGGACAACAATGTATTGGGAACAAATGTTTAATCGCCCACAAAACAGTTTAGTGGTGTGTATCTAAGAATGCAATTATCAATCTACCCTAATGGAAAAATTGTACATTAATCTACCCTGGCTCCACTGTTAGATCACCATACAAAAGGAGACTTGTATTTATAAGCGGAAAGTGTTCTTCTCGCCTCTTTTATCTGTCTATTGACCCATATTAAGCAGGTTTTAAAGGAACACTCCAGACGTCTAAAACACTTTAGCTTACTGAAAAGCTTTGTGTGAAGTTATTTTTTTTCCTCTTCATTTTGCAATTAGTGCAGATTTCAATAGAAATTGGCACTTTTAAAAATTAGTGGAGCTAAATTCATGAGGCAGCAATAGCCCAGAACAACTGCCTTGCAAAGTCTTCTTATTGAGCTGCATTGGGAAGTCTGGGCTGGGGATGAGGGAGAGGACTGGCAAAGGCTGCAGACAAGAGATCTGCAGTTTTTGCAAGCTGTTCTTAGACATAACCCTAATGTAAAAAAAATGCATAATTAAATCCATGCAAATTTTCATTGGGGGTATATCTACTAAACCATGATTTTTTTAAATTTATTTTGCATTTGGTCAGTTTAGTGTGGAAGTAGCATAAATACTTGGGTTGGGAAGCTAGTATCAGGCCATGACATTCATATTAAAGGATACACTGTACCAATATTTGTGTATATGTTTCCAAATAAGATTATAATTTACGTAATATCTACTGAAATTATATACTGAAATGTGTGTTTAAAGGCTTTTCATTGCACAGAATGGGGATTGATTGCTTTAGCCTGCAAAAAGGGAAATTTAGAGGCTTAACAGGCTTGTTTAGGAGAAACCATATTATAATTCTAAGATGTATTAATGTAAAATAATCAAAACATTTAGAAGAGCCAATCAATTGGGGAAACAATCTAATGAATTGGATTGCATATACGTATGATTGATTATTTTGGTAGGCAAGAAAGCCAAGTAGGATGGCTTTTACGAATTAATTGTATGAACCGAAGTATCAAATAGTCACCTATGGTACACTAGCGTTATTATATCATTATTTTTGCTTATCCCAGCATAAAATGATGTACCCATTTTTTTATGATGAATCAAATAAAATTTGTAGGTGAGGATTTTTTTTTTTTTAATCCAAGATTAAAATTGTTTGTTTTTTAGTTTCAAATATGTTCCAGTGGCATTTATTTCAGGGAGTGTAATTCATCTTATAAGGGTAGTTTTTAACTTACATAAAATTTGGGTGAGGCCTCACAAAGAATGTTCCAAGGCATTAATCGGGTAGGAGATATCTCCCCTTCCCCCCAGTCCTGCCTTTTTAAACACTTTTTATGTAGATCAAGTGTCTATAAGGAGACACAAAATACATCCTGTGTTGCTTTAGCATCGTGTTTGTTTCCCCCACTTCTACCTGTTTGACAAAGTGAAAAATATTTAGGAAGCTGGTCCTTGCACTTATTGTGGTTGGCATATGCAATGTAACGTAGTTTCTTTTTTTTTTTTCTTTTCTTTTTTTTATAGTTCTTTATATTTGGTAAGCAGTAAGTAAGCAAAACATTACAAATAGTGCAATATGCTCTACAATTAACCCCTTAAGGACCAAACTTCTGGAATAAAAGGGAATCATGACATGTCACACATGTCATGTGTCATTAAGGGGCTAAACAAGGAGGCACATGGAGAGGGTGCCACATACTGAACAGTGCTCATTTATAAGCTAAAGACATTTTAATATCCAGGTATGTCATGTATACAGTGGCCTAAGTTTTATTTAAAATAAATGAAAACAAAAGAAATGAGTTGTAAGAGGGGAATATGGTAAAGGAATATAGTAATATGATGATAGATATATATATATATATATATATATATATATATAGAGAGAGAGAGAATGACCTCAGACAGAGGCGGCTCTCTAATTAGGCGGTTTAGGCGGCCGCCTAAGGCCTCGCGCCGGCTGGGGCCTCGCGGCCGCCTAAACCGCCTGTGGGCAATCTGTGTCAGGTCCTCGGTCATTGACCGAGGACCTGACACCAGGAGGGGACCCGGCGACTTGCCCGGTATGCCGCCGGGTGCGAGGCCCCTCCTGGTGAGAGACCACCTGCAACCCCTGGTCTGCAGCTCCGCGCAGTGTGCAGAGCTGCAGACCAAGTGTCTGGCGAGATCTGGCCAATCAGAGCGTTGCCGCGGGTTACCACGGCAACGCTCTGACCGGTTCTCGCGAGACTCTTGGTCTGCAGCTCTGCACACTGCGCGGAGCTGCAGACCAGAAAGCACCACCGGACCACCAGGGAAAGAAGAAGCCACTGGACCACCAGGGAAAGCAGGTATTTAGTACCCCCCTCCATTATACCCCCCTCCCAGTAGCCCCCCTCCCAGTTACCCCCTCCATTGTAGCCCCCCTCCATTATACCCCCTCCCAGTAACCCCCCTCCATTATACCCCCTCCCAGTAACCCCCCTCCATTATGTCCCCTCCCAGTACCCCCCTCCATTATACCCCCCTCCCAGTTACCCCCCTCCATTGTAGCCCCCCTCCATTATACCCCCTCCCAGTAACCCCCCTCCATTATACCCCCCTCCCAGTTACCCCCCTCCATTGTAGCCCCCCTCCATTATACCCCCTCCCAGTAACCCCCTCATTCTCTCCCCCTCCCAGTAGCCCCTCCCAGTTGCCCCCTCCATTGCCCCCTCCAGTTGCCCCCTCCATTATACCCCCTCCCAGTTACCCCTCCCAGTAGCCCCCCTCCATTATACCCCCTCCCAGTAGCCCCTCCCATTATATCCCCTCCCAGTAACCCCCTCCAGTATACCCCTCCCAGTAGCCCCTCCATTATGCCCCTCCCAGTGGCCCCTCCATTGCTGCCCCCTCCCAGTAGCCCCCTCCATTGTTATGCCCCCTCTGTTAACCCCCACTCCCAGTAGCCCCCCACTCCAGTAGCCCCCCTCCAATATCCCCCTCCAATGCCCCCTCCCAGTAGCCTCCAATATTCCCCCTTCAGTAGCCAGCCCCCTCAATACTCTCCCCCCCCAGCCCCTCCAATATGCCCCCTCCCAGTAACCCCCCTCCCAATGCCACCACACCCCTCCAATATACCCCTCAATATCACCCTCCCTACCAGTGGCCCTCCAATGCCCCCTCCCAGTGGCTTAGCCTCCAGCCTACCCCTCTTCCAGTAACCCCCCTCCAATATGTCCCCCCAGTAGCCTCAATATCACCCCCCCAGTAGCCTCCAATGCCACCCCCAGTAGCCCCTCAGCCCTCCCCAGTAACAACCTCAATCCTCACTTCCTCCAATATGCCCACCAGTAACCCCTCGATGTGCCCCTCCCCAGTAACCCCCCCCTCAATATACCCTCAGTAACCCCCTCAATATCACCCCTCCCTCCCAGTAACCCCCTCCAATGCCTGCCCCCCGTAACCCCTCAATATCCCCCCCAGTAACCCCCTCAATATACCCGCTCCCCCCCAGTAACCCCCCTCAATATACCCCCTCCCTCCCAGTAACCCCCCTCAATATACCCCCTCCCTCCCAGTAACCCCCCATCACTATGCCCCCTCCCTCCCAGAATACCCCCTTCCTCCCAGTAACCCCCTCAATATCACCCTCCCTCCCAGTAACCCCCCTCAATATACCCCCAGTAACCCCCTCAATATAACGCTCTTCAAGTATACCCCATCCTTCCCAGTAGCACTCCTCTCTCCCAATATACCCCCTCCCTCCCAGCATCCCCCCTCACTACACCCCGCTCCCTCCCAGTAACCCCCTTCCTTATCACCCCCTCCTAGTAAACCCCCTCCTTTACACTACCGCCCCCTCTCTCCCAGTATCCCCCCTCCCTTACACCATGACCGCCTCCCTCCCAATATCTCCCTTCACTACCCCCCTCCCAGTATACACCCTCACTCACACTATCACCCACCTCTCTCCCAGTATCCCCCCTCCCTCCCAATATTCCCCAGTATTTCCAAGTCCATACCAGTATTCCCCACTCACACTATCAACCCCCTCCCTCCCAGTATTCCCCATCACAGTATTACCTTATCCCTTTCAGTACTACCCTCTCCCTTACACTATCACCACCCTACCTCACACTATCACCCCACCCCCTCCCAGCATTCCCCCCTCACACTATCACCCCTCCCTCCCAGTATTTCCCCACTTACAGTATTAACCCCTCCCTCATAGTATCCTTCCTCCCACACAGTATTACCCCCTCGGCTACCCCCTTCCCTCACACTATCACCCTCACAGTATCAGTGGCGGATCCAGAGAGGGGACAATGGGGCAATTGCCCCCCCCCCCGAGTTTCCACCCTGCCGGTTAATGTAGGGCTGGCATTGTCCAAGTGCCAGCCCTGCAATGTGCCTACGGACCGGGAAGAGATATCCCTCCCCGGTCCGCAGGCACTGTGCTGGCAGCCGGCAGGGTTGAGAGGGAGAGAGGACCAGGGAGCTCAGCCTCTCTACCACGGCAACGCTCCAAATCATACACACACTACACACACTGCCCCACAAACACTGCCCCATACACACACTACACACACTGCCCCCATACACACACTGCCCAACAAACACTGCCCCCATACACACACTACACACACTGCCCCACAAACACTGCCCCCATACACACACTAAACACACTGCCCTGCATCCCATACACACACTGCCCCCATACACACACTGCCCAACAAACACTGCCCCCCATACACACATTGCCACACATACACACATTGCCCACACACACATACAGTGCCCCCCCATACACACTCCTCCAAACACACATACAGTTCCCCCCCATACACACTCTGCAACTCTCACACACACACTGCCCCGCTCACACACTGCCCCACACATACACTGCCCCTTAACACACACACTGGAACCCTGACATAAACTGCCGCCTAACGCACTCGCACACACATTTCACCGCTCACACACACACACACTGCACCTTTCACACACACTTCACCCCTAACACATACCACTGCTCCTATACCCTATATCCCAGCAGACCCCAGGTAAGTTGTCAAACTGTTCTTAAACGGTTTGACTACTTACTCTGAGATGGGATCCTGGCACTACTAGCACCATAACTACTACACTGAGCTGTAGTGGTTATTGTGCCTGGATTATTTCTTTAAATAATCTACAAGTGCCCCTCCTGAGATCAGGCTCTGGATCTGCCCCTGCACAGTATTCCCCCCTCCTACACACCATGACCCCGCTCCCTCACAGTATCACCCACCTCCCTCACAGTATGTCACCTCCCTCTCAGTATTACCCCCTCCCACACACTATCGCCCCTATATCCCACACACTATCACCCCCTCCCTCACCAGATCACCCCTTCCACACACACACAAACTGTCACCACCTCACACACACAGTATCATCCCCTTCACACACAGTCACTCTCCCTTATACACACTGTCACCCCTACAATGTGGTGTCACCATACTCATACACTGTCACATTCCCACACATTGTCACCCGACACCACACTGTCACCCCCTCCACACTTTCAGCCCTTTCATGCATCCACACTCTCACTAACCACTCCTAGTCCTGTTAATCTCACCCCCTCCAAACTCACCTGCCCTCTCTTTGCCACACTCATTAACCCCCTTAATCCTGGCACACTCCTTCCTCAAACCATGCCACATTCACCCTTCACTCCAAAACTGTAATACCCACCCCACCCCAACTATGCCACACTTACCGTCACTTAAATCTTAAATTTTCATTTTTGTTTTCGAGAACCCCTTCACACCAGTACTTATTTATACACGACTGCCGGGCTATGTGACCATACCCCACAATTGTGTATAAACGATTGGCATAATTGCAAATTAAATTTATTTATTGCAAATTAATTTTGTTTGCAAAATGTGCTACAACTATAGCCAGAGAGCTCACAATGCAGGGGCACAGGAAGCTCTGACATTGCAAGCTTCTGAACAATGAATGCAGAGACTGACTCTCTGTATCCAGTGCTGCAAGCACGCCTCTCGATATAGCAAATGCTCCTTACACTTATACAAAATACAACCCTATTATTTTATACTTTTGGGTGTAAGTGGGGCCTCATGCTTGAAGTTCGCCTAAGGCCTCATAAAGTCTAGAGCCGCCTCTGACCTCAGACAGTGTTGTTCTACAGATCCCATATTTTGGCTAATAGAAGGTGAAGTGTTTAATTAGGACTTCATGTAATATGCCTAGTCAAGACAGGATGGAGAGCAGACTAATAGTCAACGATGCAGAAGAAAAAAAAACAACCTAAATAAAAATATATATGAAAAAAAATAAATTTGTATCTTCAACAGGAAAACTTTGAAGCATAATATAAGTGGAGTGTATCCCTAAACGAGTCCAGTTCAGGGATACACGTGAGAAACCTGAAGGTCATGTTTCCTTTTTCCAGTATCCCCCAACTATACATGGGGTGAAGGGGACAACTCGAGACATGTCCCAGGAGCTACTAGACACATCCAATGCCTCAACAGAGGGTGTGAGGACCAGCGTTTGCAAGTAGGCCGTAGGCTTCGCTGCAGAGGTAAGTTGATGAGTGTCCATCCTTGAGAGCCGTCAAAGCATGGGAGGGGCCCCACCTGTAGGAGATCTTAGGGATTTTGTGACCTGTGTGAAGGACCTTCTCCACTCCCGAGTTGATTGGAAGAGATCCTGTAAGAACGGAAGCTGCATCTCCTCAAACTGGTATGTCGTCTTGCCCCGATTAAATGCATCTCTAAGAGGAAATGCCGATTGGGGCCCTGTGGCATTTTGCGTCATATGTGCAATAGCCTCCTAATACTTTTCTATGGAAGCCATGGAGCGAGAGCAAAGGCGCAGGGAAGTTATTTTTGTTGGGTTTTTTTTTTTTTTTGGAGGGGAGAGAGTGTGTGATAAACGTGATCCAGAACTGTAGCATTACAAATCCAGGTTTGTATAACTACTGCTATAGTGTTCCTTTAAAAGTAAAAATGAGAATTATAATCAATGCATAGATCCCCTGTATACAAACATATAAAATAAGCCAGATTCGGCCATGTAGCCACATATGTAGAATGAATCTGCCCTAAAATAACTCGGACAAGACAGCAGAAACAATTGAAACGTTGCTAAAGTTTGGCAATGAACTAGCTAGAACTGATTTGTCCCTAAGACTATTAGGTGCAACTGATGAGCTACTAAACAAAAGGATTGATAACTTGAGGGCAAAACATGTAGAACTATTCACTAAAGTTAGAACTGTCCTCAGGATTTCAAAGTGAATTTCAAATAAATCAGAATAATCCAACTAGTTGTGCCATTTTAGTCTTAAACTTTGAATTCCAATCAATTCTCCCTTTAGTTGAATGCATTCTAAGAATGAAGCAATTGATTAATTTTTTTAACCACGATTTAAATGAACAGTTTAGTGATAGAAATACAAACATGTATTCCTAACGCTATAGTGTCTTGTGACCTTTAAGTGAAAGGCAAGTCTAATCGGTTACTTGCCTTTCAGCCCTCGCCCACTGCTCTTGTCTTTGAGATCAGAGCTCATGTTTTGGGAGGCTGGTGCACATGCACAGCAAAGCACTGCGCTAATCAAATGATCCTCTAGGAGTTGCATGTGATTGGGAACAGCTTTAATAGCTTTAGCATAGTACAGATAAAGGATAATTTAAAATAAATTTAAAATAAAACTAAGATTCAATGCATTTTGTCCCTATTTTGAACAAACTTGACAAAGCACATGTACACTTTTATTTCAGCAGTTTAACATTTTATTCTTGATCTTTGAGTCTTTCCTCTGCTTATACATACATTTTCTTAAAATTTATGTACACCTACACATTGGCCTAGATGCATTGGAGAATTACCACATCTTCTGGGCCATAAGAATATATCCTTGGTAGGGGAATTAATCCACCTACACTAGTACTACAGAGCAGCAAAGTGGGGGCGCATACTTTCATAATGTGAAGGAATTTCAATACCTGCATACCTAAAAGCAGGGATCACTGTATGCAGGTTTTTTTTTTTTTTTCCAGAGCTTAGAAGAAGAGCTAGAATTGGCTTTTGTGTAAATATAAAGTAGCACACACAAGGTAATACACCTGAAGCCTGTTTCGCACTCTATAGAAACATAGAATGTGAGGAAAGATAAGAATCATTCGGCCAATATAATCACCCCAATTTTCTAAATACTTTCATTAGTCCCTGGCCTTACCTTATAGCTAGGATAGCCTTATGCCTATCCCACACATGCCCAAACTCCTTCACTGTGTTAACCTCTACCACTTCAGCTGGAAGGCTAGTCCATGCATCCACTACCCTCTCTGTAAAGTAATACTTCCTGATATGTTTAAACCTTTGCCCCTCTAATTTAAGACTATGTCCTCCTGTTGTGATAGTTTTTCTTCTTTTGAATATAGTCTCCTTCACGGTGTTGATTCCCTTTATATATTTAAATTTTTCTATCCTACCTCCTACCCGCCCTTGCACTTATCCACATTAAATGTCAGTTGCCACATCTCTGACCATTTTTTTTTTGTTTACCTAAATCATTTGCCATTTGGCTTATCCCTCCTGGAACATCAACCCTGTTACATAGCTTAGCATCATCAGCAAAAAGACATACCTTACCATCAAGACCTGCAATATCACTTATAAAAATATTAAAGAGAATGGGTTCAAGTATTCTCCATTGACTACAACCCTCTGTTGCCTGTCACTCAGCCACTGCCTTACCCATTTAACAATATTGGAATCCAAACTTAAAGATTGCAGTTTATTGATAAGCCTTCTATGTGCAACAGTGTCAAAAGCCTTACTGAAATCTAGGTAAGCAATGTCTACTGCACCACCCTGATCTATAAGTTTAGTTACCCACTCAAAATAATAATAAGTTAGATTAGTTTGGCATGATCTCCCTGAAGTAAACCCATGTTGTCTCTGATCTTGAAATCCATGTGATTTTAGATGAAAACCATGTTAAAGGATAGGATCTTGAACCTTACTTTCCCCACTACTGAAGTAAGGCTTACTGGCCTCTAGTTGCCCGACTCCTCCCTACTACCTTTCTTTTGAATAGGCACAACATTCGCTAACTTCCACTCTTCTGGGACTACACCTGTTAACAATGATTGGTTAAATAAATCTGTTAATGGTTTTGCTAGTACACCACTAAGCTCTTTTAATAATTGGGTGTATTCCATCAGGCCCCATCAACAGATTTGTCTTTACTTTAGACAGTTTTTTTTTTTTTTTTTTAAATAAGTTACCAAATGCTACCTTTTTAATGGCAACATCTGCAGAGTATCAGAGTGGTTTCTTAAAGGTTTTGCTTTTATGGACAATCCCAATGCATTTTTCTGTTGCCTTCAGCAGTGCAACAAAAAAAAAATATATATATATTTCTTTTGGACTCAATTTAGATTGATCCAGTCTGATCATGACTCCTTTACACATATTCTAGTTTTAGAGTCTGTCAGATATTACTGTACATGAAAGTTTAGAGTCAGTGTGGTTTAATTTAAGGAGCAGTAACTGAGTCACACAAAACAGAGGTTTTTTTGGGGTGGTGTCACAGCTCTTATATTAAACCACATTGACTGACTGATGATCACTGGATCCTAAACTTTCACCTACATTAATATCTGATACCAAGTCTACATTTAACACTAAATCTAGTATGGCCACCTTACAAATTGGCTCCTCAACGACTTGTTTTAGAGACAATTGCAGTAGGGAGTTTAGAATATGTGTGCTGGTGGCACAAGCAGCTATTTTGGTTTTCCAGTTCACATCAGGAAGATTAGAGTCACCCATGATAACTTCCACTTTGTCATTTTAGCTTTTTCCTTGACTAGTAGACTAGCCATTTGTCCTGGGAGCTTATCACACGAGTTACTGTGGGATTACCAAATTCTAACGTAACCCAAACAGACTGTTTGCCTCACTAACATTTATTAGGCTAGATTTTATGCTATCCTTCGCATACAGGGCCACCCTTCCTACTTTGTCTTTTCTGTATAAAAATAACCTGGTATTGCAATTTCTCATTATACCATTTCTCAATAACAGCAACTAAGTCTACATTATCAGTTGCCATTATTGCCACAAGTTCATGGATCTTACTCCCTAAACTGCGAGCATTTGTAGACATGACTAAGCTTATTTTTTTTAAACACGCTTTTGGGGGGCAATTGGATTGATGTTTTATCACCCTTTTGCCACCCCCCCAGTTTAAATACATCCTAGCAAAGCCTCTGAACTGCTCACTGAGAACATTCATTCCCTTTAGAGAAAGATGCAAACCATAGGTTTTTTGTACAGGTTATTTCAATTCCAAAGAGAGCTACCATGAGAAATACTTGCTCCCGACACCATTCACCAAGCAACAAGTTAAAATCCCTAATACGCATCCGCCTGTCGTTTTGAGTGTTATGTACAGGCAGAACTTCAGAGTGTGACAGTGTCGAAGCAACCTGCCATATATCATTGGCAAAAACACTAAAACCTCATTGCAAGCCAAGTCATTTGTCCCTAGATGGACAAGTACATCCAATTCTCCTTCTTGCTTTGCTCACTTAATACTTCAAATACATCTCCTGTCTCTGGGAAGACATCTTACAACACCCTTATCGTCCAGCTCCACACCTCTTATGATAGAATCCCTAAACTGCCTTCTAATAGGCTTCTAGTCTCCACAACACCACGACCCTCAGTACCTGAACCTGTCTCCATAAACACTCTGAAAGTTCTGAAAATGAATTACATAGAACAGACTGTGCAATATGCCTTTTATCCACAACTCTAAGTCTACCAGATCCTACAGTAATCCATTTGCCATTCCTAGGACATCTCTGTGGCAGTGGCTTTGCAGCAGTTCCAGCCTGAGTTTACAAATATCAGACTTCAAAAATTACAATCTCCTGCCACAATATAGAGAACTGTCTACAGATTAGATCGCATCCAAATCTCCAAAGAGTGGACTGTGAAACAAATGCATAACTATTACACTGAACCATTTAAATGAGGTGAGTAATTTAAGTCAAACATCTTAATTTTTTTTGTCATCCTGTATACCTCAGATTACATCCAGAAAAATCTACACACGCAACATTAGCCAAGCTAATTACCACAAACCTCCTATAACCCATAAAAGCACCACCCACTAGGAATGTTTAACACCTGGGTGGGCCTATGCTTATTTGCCAATAGCTAATTAACCAACAATCGCAAACACCTAGCTAATCAAATTCCTTACCAATTACCAACAGGAAATCAAACCTTGTGCAATCAGTAACCTTTTCCTATAGATGAATCTTACCGCTAACAATAAAAAGAAAAGTCAGACAGTTGAAAAATCTGATAAACTCCAAGCACACACTTTGAAGCAGCAACCAAGCTACATCGAGAAGTATTGAAGACTTTAGTAGCTCGTATATCCATAAGCTGATATTGTATTGCTGCAAGCGGTGATAACTTGAGCTTGTACTAAGCTCCATTATGCGAGTGCCCATTTTATATCCACCTTTTAGTATTTAAACATATTACACTATTTCCACCTCGGTTTCTTTATTTAATGTCACACTAAGAATTAGAGAGTCAAGAAACAGAAGGTTCCAAAATCTTTCAGCAATATTAGTGTGCATCTATGTCACTAGACAGTGTTAGTTTTTCTATAGGCAGAACCTGGTACTCATTGGCATTTGTGGATATAGAAGCACACCTTATTTCAGGGTTTGCATCCTCTTCAGACATTATGCAGCACATCTATTTAACCCTCCTGAACAGGGGATTATGAGAGGAGATATGCTCCTATGAGGGTGCATAGAATGAAAACTCCTAAAGAATGAGACTTTCACATCCTCTGTATCCATACAAAATTTGTGATTGTTTTAACAAACCGCTGTTTATAACTTTGTAGTAATAAGAAAAATCTCTAGACCAAGGCTACCTGAAAGGTAGATCCCGGTGTTTTAAAACTAGAGATTCTATGATGCCTTGTCATTCCAAAGGCATGCAAAGCATCATGGGAGTTTTAGTTCTGCAGTGTCTGGGGATCTACCCTTTGGGCACCCCCTGCTCTAGACTAAAATGTTGCAAAGATGTGATCAGTTTCTCACACCCCTCCCGGATTATCCTAAACTGCCCTTCAGGATTTCAATAACCCTGCAAGCTTGTAGTCACCATGGAACTCTAAATTTTGGGCATCTGTCATCAGTACAGAAGACATGCTCTCCCTGCAGTGAGAGTCATGATGCATCACTAAAGAAGGTTGAATTCAGCGTCAGGTAGGATTGCAAGGAGGCTTATTTTTTTACTTCCTTGGGAGTGAGGTGCTTTGGGCACCATGCCTGTGATTCCAACACACAGCAGGCTTTACCCTTTAAGGCTACAGTTTCAGTTAATACATTCAAAAAAAAAAAATCTATATATATTTTTTGTTCAGTCACACTGCATTGATAAGATATATCCATGCTAATCTCATTTGTTCGAGAATGTTCCCAAACACCATACGATCTATAGCAAAAAAAAAAAAAAAAAAATAAACTAAAATTTATTTTGACAGAAAAGGCACCAGCTTGATCCTGCAGGACAGTGCCCAAAACAAATTTGCAAGATTCACTCTAGTCAATACAGTGACCTCACCAGCAATGACATGTACGGTACATTACAGAGAGTTTCAGATACAGCTCTGCAGTACCTACATATCAAGTTGTGAATGCAGCAGCTTTTCAGTAAATGTGTGTTAAAGTTCTGGATTACAAAGTGAAGCAAAGTGGGTGTGGAATTTCCTGTTTGCCTTCCTCTTTTAAAAAAAAAAATCCACACAATTCAGAATCTGGTAAATATAGTATAAACTCACTACTGTAATCACATTCTAGTTCCAATGAACATAAAACAGATGTGTTATAAATATAATTTTTACTTTTGGTATGCAAGAGATCTTTCCAGCACAGGATTCTACGTTTCGAAAAATGGAAAATAAAAATAACAAAGTAATAAATAAACCAATGTCCCTGTGATACAGCCACCTCAGTGATAAAACTAAAAAGACAAATAAATGCATTTTGAAGGACAGGAGAATAAATTAGGCCAACAACTAGAAGACAATAAAAATCAAAAGTGATGAGGGGAAAAAAATAAATAAAAAAAGCTTAAGTTGCAGCATATGCAAGCACTTCCTGTTAGATTCCTGCCCCTGCAGGAGAAGAATGCATATCGTGGGTTGTTCGCCAGATTAAGAAAATGTGAAATAGCAGCACAGTTGTAATGTGACTAAGGAGCGATCAAATTCTGAAGATGAAAACAAGAACTGGCTGGGCTAGTAATATTTTGCTTGCTGGCAGCATAGGTACTGATATCAAAGCCATCTACAGATATCCTTACAGAACCTCCCATGGGTCAGGACAATTCAAAGGCATTTCTTAGGTCTTGCAATTAAATGCAATGGAAGGTGGCAAGTTAGTCTTAAGTGGCTTTGATTTTGGCTCAAAACGCAGCAAACTGAAACACAGCAGTACAAATTAAAAATAAAAGGATCGAAATTTAGCTGTACAAAAGAAAGACGAATTAAAAGGAAACCTTACACTGTAAAAGAATTAAACTTTCAGAAAAGTAAAGATTGAGATTTAACAATAAAATCCCATGATAGCAGAACAGGTTAAAAGTCTATACAGAACACTTAAAAATGAAGTTAAAAGTAAACTTAAATAAAAATGAATCATATTCATAATTTGTGGGCAGAAGGAAAAAAATATAAGTTTTTGTCCTTGAATTACATGATATTCTGTGACAATTCACCATTCAATAACCCCTAAGCTGACATGCCACATAGTAACAGCAGTTAGGAGGTAGTTACTGGAGAATTGGATTCATAAATAAAAATGGCAACAAAAAAAATATAAATTAAAAACAAAAACAGATGAGGCACTATGCTTTGAGGCATTTGCACTAAAAGATCCTCTTGCGCTTCAGGTAAGAGTCCGCATAGTGCCCTCCCAGGCCTTGTGAGTGTTGTCCGATGTATCCATTCTCAGGACTTGGCTCTGGAGACGGTATCAGGTGTGAAAAGCCTCGTTTCTGAGCCCCAATAGGAGTCTGAGGAAAGGAGAGATACATTAGTATGAAGGGAGAGAGGCCTTGTAAAAGTGGTTTACAAGTCAGTTTAAATTTGTCATAGTGATCAGTTCCTCCGGTCTATAAAAGTAGTCTTTCAAAAGACAAGTCCATCAGACCAAAGTTTAAAGAACTGTAGTTTCTCTAGATCTGACAGTTCACCATAACTTTTATTGGAGTGGAAAAACCATGTCTAAAACTAGAAAGGTCTAGACAGTCTCATACCTTAAATCCATTTGTAGATTGAGAGTCCTGATCTTCAAAACCCAGCATTACACCTCCAGGGCTACTTGGGGTCAGACTGGGTGCCTGAAAAATAAAAATGGTAACTTTTTGGACAGTTATAAGTTAACCCTCAGGAACCATAAAAAGATAATCTTATAGTAGGTAAGTTGAAATGTTATAAGAACAACGCCATGAGATTCTCCCCAGCATATAGGAGATTTAAAAAAAAAAAAAAAAAAAACTACACAGCTCTCCCCCTGATTTCCAACCAACTGGATAAATGTATGCTGGGAGCCAATAGGCCCAACTCTGGAAGTTACAGGTTCTTATTCAATCACCACATCACAAATGTTTGCTCTAACTTTTCTGTAGTTGTGTTAAGGGGTTAAATATTCCAAACAGAACCTTTAAGGACCAAACTTCTGGAATAAAAGGGAATGACATGTCCTTAAGGGGTTAAACAAAACCTAGTGTAAATGTTTACATTTGTTTCACTCTCCCTCAAGCCCAACCATGGTGTACTCACTTTAATCACATGGGTCTGCTGGAGCCCAGCCTGTAAGCCACTTGTAAAGTAAGATGATGCAGACCCAGCACTAAATGGAGGCAGAGGGGTAGGGACACTATTGCTGCGTTCCTGAAACCTGGAAGGTGGAGAGATCTGCAACAAAACAATTCTTAAAGTTGTAAATTACTAAAAATAAAATAAAAAAATAAAACACATTCCAATACACATTTTGTATTCAAACAAAAAACAGTTATCAAAGGTTTTGCTGTAGCAATTAGTTTTGTTTTAAGCATTAGGGTTGAAGTGAAAATAAATGCTGTGTAGGTAGCCTTTTGCCTCTGAAAGAAAAGACCATGTCCTTTAACCTTTGAGGTCAGTTCATGGCATAGAGCTTATGCATACAGCAGACAAATAAATTGGTTACCTTTAACCTAGACTCATAGCTGTCCAAGTTGTGTACAGTGTGATCCCTGCTTTGTGAGAATGCATGAGGGGTCAGATCCTAGAAGAAAGCCACATACGACTAGTTAGTTATAGCATTACAAAGCTAAAATTGGAGAGCCATCTCCTCGTCTTCTGTTAACAGATGGATTACATACAAGTTTAAATGGAAGCAAAATAACTCCATGTTGGACTTTGTTTGCAGATGCTGAACACAGCCTGCTGATATAGGTACAAAGATAAATAGCAACAAGCCAGCAGCATCAATGTTGTGTTATACAGGCATTTAAAATTAGACATGCCAGTGTCGTTAGTTATTCCATTTATTCATAACCTCATATGGAGACAGCATAGTTCAGTTACATTTTAACTACCATCAATAGAATCGTCAATCCCATTGGGAGCAGACTACTTCAGGCACTGGGTATGAACAGAGTTAACAGACTGGCAAGGCCTATATAAGATCTGGGATACTGCAGAACTATACTTAAGGCATCAGCACCTCAGAGGTCTTTATGGCAGCCAGTGCGGTAATAAATGGCCCATCTAGTCTATCTACACCCCCTGCCCCCATTAAAAAATAAAAAAAATAAAATAAAAAAAACCACAAACAAAGTCGCTTGTTACAAGCTCCCAACAGAATTAGGTCTGTCAAGCTTTACAGATCACTTTCAATACATCTGCAAAAAAAATACTGTTGTGGTTCTTGGATAATACGCAGCATGCGTTACTATGTGTGACACATGAGCAATACACAGGGAGGTTAATCACATTTGTCATGTCTTACCATGTGCCACACAGTAAGAGAAAGCATCTGCTATTCCTACAGTAGAAGAATTTAAGTAAAGTTATCACTAACCGATAGATATTCGTAAGGGTAGCCATCAGATGGCGTTAATAAGGAGTCCTGAATGGAAGGAGGAGGATGTCGGCCACTCATAGATTTTTGTTTATATGGAGGTTGTTTACTTGAGGACCCTGAGAGAGACAAGAGATTCAGGAAACCACTGTTGCATGACCAGAATAGAGTCGAGTCCCACCACTATGAGGTAATTAGAATACTTACCAATGGAACCAGTGCCGTGGAGTCTGTTGTGGTAACCCATAAACTGAGCTGGTTTCAAGTCTCGTGGGGGCTCCCCAAGAAGAGACATCTAAAAAAAAATTTGCCATGTGAGATTAAACAAAAACCACTGACAGACCACCTAGGAGGTATGTGATCTGCAATTAAGCACTTTTGATTCCCCATTGAGGAAGGGATTTACATAGGGCAAGCATAATGTAAACACATTTGGAAGAGCAGAGAATTAGACAAAGCTTCCTCAACCTGTGTCAGGTACTGCGAGGGGGATGGTTTATAACTTCAGTGAGATTAGGAAATTGGCATGCTTGTTCAGAATTTAAGTCAGAGACAAGTGTCCCTTTGGCATGAATCAAAACCATTGCTCCTTGCATGTGTTATGGTGCAAAATCCCATTGTACAGCGCTATGGAGTTTGCTGGCGCTATAAAAGTCATTTACAGATACACCATCTCAAAATAATCTATAAACAGATTGAGGACTGATGAAAGCATATTCAGATTAAATGTAGGAATTTTAAGTTTGAAGATTCAGTTGGATAAAAGGCTCCTCTTGTTTCTGACAATATAACATTGTATGTCATTACATCTCCTAGACAAAATTGCTTAATGCTACAGAAAGAATACTAAATCTGACACCAAAAGATTACCGTAGGTTCCACTGGCTTTTGCATTCCAACCAAATTGCCCATAACTGAAGGTGTGGAACTCTCCCACTCAGATCCCATCTGTCCTAGAAAAGGTGTCAACGGTGCACCCAGGTCAGAGGGCAAACCAACAGGATTAAGTGGACTGGCTGGGATAGAAAGTACAAGGACAGACATCAGAGACCCATTACATTAAAAACAGCATTTAATAGACAAAAAAGTGTAACAAAATGATCATCATCTTATGCGGTCACAAAACAGACTACACGGGTAGTCAGCTAAACACAAAGTGAGCCATACAGTCGCAAGTTGCTGCACTGCAGAAGCTGACTCAATTTAGCCATCTGTAATTAAAGGGAAAGCCTAGAATAAGAGTGCAGGAAACCATCACTTGTTTTGCAACCCTATTTTAAGATGCATCCTTTTCACTCTAAACTCCCTTAAGAAATGCATAGTTATATTTAAAGTGGCATGACAAGGTTTACACTGAAGAGAAACTTGCCTTATTGCAGTTAAAGACTACATAAATGCGCTTCCTAAATTCACAAAAAAAAAATACACAACTTTCACCCTTGCATGTGCAATGTGGTGGGTGGAACTATATTTAGAGGCTGGACTACCAATATCATAAAATACAAAAAATGATACTGCACTCAAAGACTTAAGATAGAGTTCATTACTTAATTTAATAAATTATTAAATAAATCATCTTATATACTCTAAAGTCAGAAAAATATATACACGCTTAAATCAAACAATATGGTTTAGTAGAAACAGTGCATTATGAGTCTACTAATATAACTCCATGTAGCTAAAAATCCCTGACCATAAATTGATGAATCATCAAGTATACTATATTGCTGTATCTGATAGTCCAAAAAGTATCAAAAAAAAAAAAATGCAAAAAGGGAAAAATAGGTATATACAGTCCCAGTGTGCACATACTACAATATATGGGTGGATCTCACCGCTTTCTATAGAGGGATAGGTCCTGTTTTCAAGTTATCCGTATTTCTTGATGTATAAGTTGTGGTGTAATAGTAAATCTTTCTCCCAGATCGTATGCAAGAGAAGTCCCACACTTGTCCTGGAGGTACTGGGCTATATCTTCTAGTCTGCTGGTCCAGGGTCTAATGGGCGGGCTGCGCGCTCGGGATCTCCACAAATCCCTTCAATGGCCCTGTCAGAAAAAAAAACAAAATAAAAATCCCATACTTATATGTAGTTCGGCGCAGGGTCGCACCTAAATGATGTCATGATGCTTGCGTCTGCATGATGCGCAGGCATCATTTAGGCGCGACCCGCGCATTCAAGCGGGTGCGCTGAACTACATATAAGTATGGGATTTTTATTATTTTTTTCCTCTGACAGGGCCATTGAAGGGATTTGTGGAGATCCCGAGCGCGCAGCCTGCCCATTAGACCCTGGACCAGCAGAGAAGATATAGCCCGGTACCTCCAGGACAAGTGTGGGACTTCTCTTGCATACAATCTGGGAGAAAGAAAAAAAGATTTACTATTACACCACGATTTATACATCAAGAAATATGGATAACTTGAAAACAGGACCTATCCCTCTATAGAAAGCAGTGAGATCCACCCATATTTTGTAGTGTATACACACTGGGACTGTATATACACACTTATGTCCCTTTTTGCATTTTTTCATTATTTGTTTACTTTATATTTTTTTGATTCTTCCTTTTTTCCTATTTACCCTTCTTTTTTTGGATGGTACTTTTTGGACTATCAGATACAGCAATATAGTAGAATACTTCAATTTATGGTCAGGGATTTTTAGCTACATAGAGTTATATTAGACTCATAATGCACTGTTTCTACTAAACCATATTGTTTGATTTAATCGTGTATATATACATTTTTCTGACTTTAGAGTCTATATTACCAATGAATTATATCCATCCAAGATGATTTATTTAATGATTAAATTAAGTAATGAACTCTATCTTAAAGTCTTTGAGTGCAGTATCATTTTTTTGTATATTTTTGAGGTATTTTGGGCCACCTTGATACTTTGCACCAATACGGATGAAAGTGCCTGTACATAGTATTTTTACCAATATTATAGGCACCTACTAGATAGGTAATTGTAAAACAAGACACCACAGGCCAGAATTGTTATATCTGGATTGGTGGAGACATTTCTTGGTTTGACAGCACAGGAAGTTAGACACTTTAGAAGAGGTATGTCCAGATATTAGTTTGACACATCTCCAAGATTGCACAAACTGAATCAAGAGAAAGATTCTATAAGTGAAACCTTACAACATTCCAAGTTACACCAAAGTCTGTGTTGCATCAGACATTGGTACATATGGGAGGACACTTACCAACTCCCAAGTCAGGTAGAAGTGATTTCCCAACAGTCGGTGTAAGCTGGGGGGACAAGCCCACAGATCCATATAATGCAGCAAGAGGGGAATCTCCCAGAATTCCAGGTTTCTGTAAAAAAAAAAAAAAAAAGCAGCATGTGTGAACAAACGGAGTGGGATAAGGGAAGGAATTCCCAAGCTTAAGAGTGAAGACACCCAAATAGGGTTATTCTGCACATGTCCCCCAGGAGAGCTATATTTTATACTGCCCCATACCTAGTCTTCCTTTTGTTTATATGAAAGATATGCTTTCCCCCACAGAAAGCATGAGTTCAATGCAATTGCTAGGTGACCAATAGCTTGGGTAGGCAGAAGAGGAAAGATGTAGATATTAATCCATTCACCATCTTAAACAGGATGGTTGTATAATGTCTGGCTTGCTCTCAGACTTTTATAGCATTACAAGTGTGCTCAGATAGGACCTACCTGTGTCGTTTGGGCCTGCAGTACCAGCTGCAGGAGGGCAGTAGAGAGAGCAGGGTTTGATAACAGGGACAGTGCAGGGGGAGCTCCAAGGATTCCTGCAAAAAGAACAGTTACATGCAGTAGTTATGTAAATTAAGCAAACATGAGCCAGCTTTATTACATCTACATCTAGCTTTTTCATTAGATGTGCAAAGTCCTTGAAGGCCGCTCCTGTCTCCTCCCAAAACTTCTCATTTGGTCACCACAGGACCAAGTATAGGTTAGAGTGACCAGGGTGAAGCTTAACAGCTGTTGAGTCAATTTCCAGGCTACTTTGAAGCATTTGCAAAAAAAAAAAAAAAAACCCACCCCCCACCATTGTAACATACCTTGTTTATTTCCTGCAGCTCCATGTAGCAGGGGGCTTAAGAGGAGCTGCAGTGTTGCTGGAGACCCCAAACTGTTTAGAATTTGTAGGAGGTTTGGTTCAGGAAGGAGTCCATTGCCACGATTTAATGCCTATAAAAATAAACACTTTTACCAATGCCATGAAGATACTAAACAATCCACACAATATAGAGAGACTGGATAAAGCGACTACCCTCCCCAGTGAACAGGAAATATTTTCCTAGTCCTAGAAAATGTGTTAAACATTAGGGAGAGGAGATGCAATCAAAACCATGAGGCCAGTAGTTTCAACATGGGTTTCTGGTATCCCCAAAGAAAAGCCACCATATCCATTTATACAAATGTTTTACATTTTAGTAGACTGGGTAAAAGGTAAAGCATTCAGCCCAAAATTATGCATGAACCAAGAGGACAGATTTAACACCGGCAACCCCAAATTGCCTTATCAGCCGGTGATTGTGCTTATGGAGGAAGGTCATTGGATCTGTGGTAGAACTATTGTATTGCCAATCTGATTCCCCTCCATTGTGCCTTGTTTGGGTCAATAGCCAGATATAAGGCATGATGTCTAGTAGTAGAGTTCAATAACGATGGACTTCAATATACCAAGGTCTAAGGCAAGTGACACTCACCGATGCTTGTGCAGCAATAAGTGCAGCCAACATACTCCTTCCTGGTGGACCAGGGGCACAGAAGGACACCCGAACTTTGCTTCCACAAACCATCGCCCCATCAATCTGCTGCTGGACAATTTCAGTCACAACTTCAGAATCATATTCCACAACTGCAAAGCCTTTGAATTGACCATCCTGACCATAAGCCAGCTGCAAATGAGAGGCAGTAAGTCACTTAAAATTATATGGACATAAGCAGTCTTAACTCCTGAAAGAGGGTATTCATTTCAGTTTGAGGAACAACCTACCTTTACAATTGTGATTCAGTGTAAGATGTAATTTTAGCATAAAAACCCACACCATACAAATCCAACCTAGACAGATGTTCATTTGTAGTTTTATATAGAGTCCATGCTAGGGCTACAGTATAAAACATGGGGAGAAATGACATGTTTAAATGGCAGTGCAGTCATTGGTGCAATTCTGAGGTATCCACCTTTGGATTCCCCATTTTTCTGAGCACGATATTAAAGAGCCTGGCACTTCATAATAAAAAAAAAATAAAAAAAAATTCAGAGAGGTTATCTTAAGCCGCAACTGATAAAAATGTGAAGCTTCTGCCCGCAACTTTTATCAGTTTACTAATGCCTATGGAAACCACTGTAACCACTGCAAGGACCAGTATGTTGAGAGTCCTGCAGGCTTCAAGGATCCTCTGTTGTACTCTTACACAAGCAAGATTACAACAGTGACATGGCTCCTGCAAGAGGACATCAGAAGAGGGAGAAAGACTGTGGCAAACACACAGGGGAGATATTCAGACAACTATAACTGCCTTCAGCTGCAGCCATGGGTCATCCCACACTCAGCAGTTATGTCATTTTAGAGGTTATCACAAAAAATATGCAGAAGCTCTGCCGGGAAAAGAGCAGCCTTAATACAAATGGGTTTTAACTGATGGTAGAGAATCGAGTAGTGAGACTGCAGGGACAGGATCGATACACCAAAACAGCTTTAACAAGCAAAAGAGGTTTTGGTACTTGGCAAGTTTAAAGGGACAGTCTTCTTCCAGTGCAAGACTCCCACGGCAGCCCAATTACCTTCCTGGGAAACCAAGGCCAACGACTTCGCTAACCAGGTTTCTCCTAAAGAAGCCCTGATATTGCACATCTGCCAATATAATGGTTCATTCTGCCAATCACTGTAACCAATAGGAGCTTAAGCAGCAGATACACAAATCGTGAGGTTTCTCCGAGTTTATCCAGTTTATAGCAGCAAGGTGGCATTTATGCCCCAGAATTGTTAAAGGGACAGTTTAATAAGCAAAGTTACTTGTTTTAAGCCCTGCCCTTAACATAGGTTGAGGGAAGGATTTAGCTTTATCAAGCAGTTTTGGATGTCAAAACAAATCAAGCCAGGTGGCCTTGTGATCGCAGTAGAAATATCACTACATTATTAAGAAAGAAGCTCAATTTGTTGTTTCTTATTAATAGTGTATTGGATTATGATACAATTCATAACTTGTAAGGGGTGCTGTGATATGGCCAAGGCACTTCACTCCGACAGTGTGGACTGAGCTGTGATGACCAAGGGCCCTTATTTAGTTCTAAACTGCCCAAAAATGGTGCAACATTGAATGGAGGGAGAGGACTGCAGGCAGTTTACAAATCTAAGATTAAGAGGATATAAATTCCACTTTCCCTTTAAAATTAAAAGGACCACTCAAACTTAATAGAACCATAAGTTTACCTTAAATACAAACAATTTGTTTGTTCACTTATAGTGGATATAATTTACTTTTCTACATAGAACCAAGGACACATGCAGCATCTCTTACAACAAATTACACAAAATGTTTCATTAGCATCACCACAAAAGCAGAAACCGTTCTTATTACAGCTTTGTCCTACCTGGCAGAAGATGGGTACGCAAACCTTTGAGAATGCCTCTTTAAGCTCTCCAACATCACACTCCTTTAACTGCTCCACACACAAGCAATGAGAGTGAAGCAAATCATAGCTTAGCTGACTGACATCTGACCAGTGGACATACAGAGTGCGAGATCCCAGCTGACGTCCAAGCAGGTCTGATTTGGCACGGGAAGCAGAGTCCTTCTTCATGTACTCTACAAATCCATATCCTTTGGGGTGGCCAGTGGCAGCGTTGTATACCAGGAAACATCGCTCGAGGTTACCAAATGGGCGGACTAGGTCTTCAAACTGCTGCTGAGTGTAGCCTTGGGGCAGGTTAGCGATGCACAGGAGGGCGTCTGTTGGTTGAAGCTGCACAGATATCTCTCGTTCACGTAGACGAGTTTGGTGGAAGCAGCGAATGGCGGATTCAGCCTGCTCTCCATTGAGCAGCGTTACAAAGGCTGATGGTGGAAGGAGATAATACACGTGAAGACTTTGTAGCTTTCAAAATTAGAACACATACAACAGTGCAGATTGTAAGACGGTGAAAAAAAAAAAACCAAAACAAAACACGTCTGACAATAAACATAAGTAAGTCATGCATGACCCTGATTAATATTATATTAACAATAAGATGTCAATAAGACCTTAAAAAGTGAACTAGCATTAAAATGTGCTGTCTTGTAGCATTTTCTACTCTGCATAGTTGTAATGGAAAACAGCCCTTTAGTTTAGATACGAGGGTTATTTGGTACTCCAGCATCCCTTGCTGAGATCACTCCGTAAGCTAGGGTTTGGCAATACGCATCAAGATCCTGCCAGTGATACAAACAGCTGCCATGTTCTGACTATACTACAAACAATAGTCAAACCTCACCCTAGAGGGACAAGCATCAGGATTTTAAGTTATCTGACTGCTCACTTTGCAGCGATAGATGTATTAAATAGAAAAAAAACGTAATCTGATGCTAGAAACAAGTGGCCAAATACAAAGTTAAGTGCTGCAGAGCATGAAAATCTGTAGATCAAGTTGCCTGCTGTAAAGGAATAGCATGGCACAGACAGTCATATTGCTTTATAATATACTCCTTACTAGAGATACCATCAAGATGAAGGTCAACATTACAATTGTTAATTCTGTATACATTTACACTCAATCCTAAATTAAAAGCAGCTCTGTCACAGTTACAAGCATTTCAGATAAAAATCTTTATGGAAAGCACATTTGACATTTCACTGAAACGCCAACACAAGACAGCGTAGGGACTATTTTGTCTTATTTATTTTTTTTTTATACCGGACAAGTAGGCAGAGCTACTGCACTCAAGCCACCAGCAGTCACTAGTGAAAGGCTTAGTCTATGGAGGGTACAACAATCCTCTAGACATCAGTGGAGTAGATGGCATTAATGTCAGCTCTGGCAGATGAAGTGTAAAGGGTGAAATCAGTCTTTCGGTGGAAAATTACGTGAGGGACATTTTCAGGTAACCAATGGTTACCTTTCACTGCATAGCAAACTGTCAATTTATGGTCAGGAATCTTTTTAAAAAAAAAGTTTTTTTTTTTTGTTTTTTTTTAAATATGTTAACTTAGCCTTATGATACAAGAATATGTAATAAAAAAAAAATCATTTCCCACTATATTCAGTGAGCTTAACTGGTATAAGATTCATGGTGGCAGTGTTATGGTTACAATGACACAAGAAGAGAGTAAACTGCAGCATAAATATAAAAGCCATTACACTTACCAGTGCCTTTGTATTTATCCACAAAACAGTATTTCAACTCGTATTCCCCAAGAAGGTCATGGACTTCCTGCAAAAAGCACAGGTTACAGGTCAGTGCAATCTTATGCAAGGGGTCTGTGACTTTTGCCACACTTTTTGTATTGAAGTTAATGTATGAGTGAGAAAGACCAAGCACACAGTGGGGATATACTTTTACAATAATTTGAGAGCAGTATAGTCACAAGAATGTTTGCAGTACTGATGGGAAATTTTAGATAAAAAAAAAAAAAAGCCACAAACTTCGTGAATAGTGCATATAAAGAGTAACGGACTAGCAAATATACACAAGGTCTTTTGATTGCTACAGCTTTTCAAAATAAGCAGACAGGTCATACTGCCACTGGGAGTTCGCTTTGTAGGCAGGGTCCTCTAAACCAGGCATTGAAAGTTTAGGAATAATTCAGTTTAATAGATTATATTCGTTATATGTGAGGGAGCGCTGTACAGTCACTCCACTGTGGTATAAAGGAACTTTTGTACCAATAAGTCTGTGAGGATGGAAATTTAAGAGACATTCAGGTCAATTCACAGTATAATTAACTGGCCCGGAGCTGGCACCAACTCTAGGCTCTATTTTTTGGTTAGATCTGTGAAAGGCTGATTCAGGCTTTTGGTCACAGCAAGACTGTTTGCACAAGATGAACAGATTTAGCTTTTTGACTGTTCTGATACAGGTTTCCAGATTTCTGGATACTGGTAGGGTGGATGAGGCATCCAGTTAGGTGGACAGTCAGCTGAAAGCATCAAGCATAGGTCAGGGGCTGGTGGAATTCGCGCAGAATCCCATTGTCAAGGGGGCGCTGAAAGGGGCGCATGCTAATCATACGACTGAATGGAACACATACAAAAGGGGCAGCAGCAAGCAGCTGTATGGAAAACAGAGCAATGTGATGTTAAAGCAAAGACTTATTCAAATGCAAAGTGACGTTACACAAATGAATAAACCGTTAGTCAACCTGTTACCTTGCTGGTGTCATCCCAGATGAGCAAATAAAAAGAGAACAGATTATATACAAACATACTAGTGATTAAGGACTTAGATCAACAAGAATGTTTTAATCTTAGTGAGGTGTAAGGGTCTTTGTCATTTAAACATCCTAAAACATTAAATTAAAAATACACGTCAGTGGAATTTATTTATTTTTATTTCTCCACTGTGCTAAACAAAAGATTACACTTTTGTTCCCAGTGCAAGGACAGACCTCCTCAAAAGCACAATCGGCCTAGAGTGATGTCAATCCTGATTATTTTTATCCCCCCACCCCCAATGGGTTTTCCATGCATACAAGTACTGGTAATTCTGTGATTATAGTATGTAGATTTAAAAAAAAAAAAAAAAAAAAAAAGTTTGACATGGTAGATATAGCAAGAATTGTCCTCCTTAACAGTCAAGTCCTACTGAGCAGGCTTAGTAGATCAGAGAGATCGTGTATGATCAATTATTTCACAATACTTGAGGATCTTTTTTTTCCTTCTCTAATTGGACCAGTTCGAATTGGATTAGGTTGCAAGCTTTCCAGAGCTACCTGCACCCATTAGCAAACCCTAATCCGTTACTGCAAGCAAAATGAGAGATCTCTATCATCTTCATGGATTGCTTTTTTGTTTTTGATCCCCTTCCCCCATCACTGATCCTTGCACAACATTATGACCCTCAGTGAGAAAGGTGTCTGTTTCTATCAGACCTGATCCTCATCCCCCCCCCAATCATTAAGAAATTCTTTAGACTCACTAGACTAGAGGGACAAATATCTGGTGAATTTAACCCTTTAAGGACCAAACTTCTGGAATAAAAGTGAATCATGACGTGTCCTTATTAAAAACACACAAGAAGTTTTTAAAGTGTGATTTAATAGATCTTTGGGTGTGACCCGTTTACATGACTTATCCAGAGAGTGTGTGTAAAAGAGCCTTTCAGACAGCTCTCTGAAAGGGGTAAAACACTCCTGTTAGCCAGTTACTCCACAAACTGCACACACAGCATTAATAACCAGTGAGAACCATTGTGAATTCACAACAAAATGTAAAATGTTAGCAGTGGGGCTGAGAGCCAGCCATGTTCTGGGTTCCATGTTAGCAGTGGGGCTGAGAGCCAGCCATGTTCTGGGTTCCATGTTAGCAGTGGGGCTGAGAGCCAGCCATGTTCTGGGTTCCATGTTAGCAGTGGGGCTGAGAGCCAGCCATGTTCTGGGTTCCATGTTAGCAGTGGGGCTGAGAGCCAGCCATGTTCTGGGTTCCATGTTAGCAGTGGGGCTGAGAGCCAGCCATGTTCTGGGTTCCATGTTAGCAGTGGGGCTGAGAGCCAGCCATGTTCTGGGTTCCATGTTAGCAGTGGGGCTGAGAGCCAGCCATGTTCTGGGTTCCATGTTAGCAGTGGGGCTGAGAGCCAGCCATGGTTTGGGTTCCATGTTAGCAGTGGGGGGTGAGAGCCAGCCATGGCAGTTGGGGGGGATGAGAGGTTCCATGTTAGCAGTGGGGGGGATGAGAGCCAGCCATGTTTTGGGTTCCATGTTAGCAGTGGGGGTGAGAGCCAGCCATGGTTTGGGTTCCATGTTAGCAGTGGGGGGTGAGCCAGCCATGGTTTGGGTTCCATGTTAGCGGTGGGGGTGAGAGCCAGCCATGGTTTTGGCAGTGGGGGTGAGAGCCAACCATGGTTTGAGCAGTGGGGGGTGGGTGGGATGAGAGCCAGCCATGTTTTTGGTTCCATGTTAGCAATGGGGGAATGAGAGCCAGCCATGTTTTGGGTTCCATGTTAGCAGTGGGGGAGGGAGGGGGATTGAGAGCCAGCCATGTTTTGGGTTCCATGTTAGCAGTGGGGGATGAGAGCCAGCCATGTTTTGGGTTCCAAGGTGTATATATATATATATATATATCCCCGTTTATGGCCCCTGATTGTTGTTGTCCCAGTGTGGCCCCCCGGGGCCGTTTCCCATGATGCCCAGCGACCAGTCACTCACCTGGTTGCTGATGTCCCCCGGGAGGCCTTTGATGAGGATCTTCCTGCGGTTCCTCACCTCCCTCTTCATCCTCTCCACCCGGCAGCGGATCTCCCTGAGCTCCAGCCGGCCCTCGGGCCCCTCTTCCCGGCCTCCCCTCTCCTGCTCCCCGTCACCCCGACCCGCTCCAGCTCTAACGGACACGGGCGCCGCCATCTTGACAGGGGTAGCTTCAATCCGACCTAGGAACCTACACTGACACTACGCGCTCATTGGTCGAATTTAAACCGGCTCGGGAGCCTGGCGCTGATTGGCTGGTTCGGACGCTGCCCCGCCCATTTACCCGCCGCCGTTGCCATGATAGCAAGGGGGCGTGGCTCTCAACTGATCACGCTTAGAGTTCTGTAAACTCTGGAACGCTGTGTTTTCATCCCACCCAGGGCTGCGGTGACGTCATCACTGGTGCATGACTCAGGCCCCAATGTGTTGCTTTTGTTGTGATTTTTTTCAAAATAAAGAAATCACTTGCCAATAGGGAATGTAATGTTACACTGACACAAGAGGAGTGGCATCACATGACTGGGGGAGGGGTTAATGGCAACTAACTTCTATTTTATGGCTCCCATTTTATAGCCAAAAGGTTCTGATGTTTTTTTTTTGGTGACTTTAGACAAAAAAGAGCAAAAATTGGAAACATTTCTCCAAGGCAGTTATATTTTGAGACCCGCTATTTTGGAATAAAATTTAAATTCACTATCAGGATTATTCAGGGAATTGAAATTAAATGTGAATTAAATCCAAATGGAAAAAAACTATATGCAAAAATAGATGATTTGTAAAAATGACCCAACTCAAGAATAACTTCATACCTCCTTAGTGGCTCTATTTTGGGCCCAAATCCCTATTTTTCTATTCTAATTTACCTCTTTTCTAGGAGCTCCATGTTGTTGGTGTGTCTGCGTGTACTTCACAGCAATAATAATCACAGATACAATAAATCTGTTTAGAAATCAGTCAGTGAATAAGATACATTGTTTTTGTTATAAATTAATTTTTCATTTCCATAAATTGTTAAAGGGACACTATAGTCACCCAGACCACTGCAGCTCAATGAAGTGGTCTGGGTGCCAGGTCCCCCGGGTTTTAACCCTTCAGATGTAAACATAGCAGTTTCAGAGAAACTGCTATGTTTACATAGCAGGGTTAATCCAGCCTCTAGTGGTTGTCTTCCTGACAGACGCTAGAGGCACATCTGCGACGCTGGATGCGAAAATCGCATTCAGCGTACAGAACGTCCATAGGTAAGCATTGAGAAACGCTTTCCTATGGACTGTTTGAATGCGCGTGCAGCTCTTACCGCGCATGCGCATTCCGCTCCACTCTGGTGCCGACATCGGAGTGGGAGGAGAGGTCACCAGCGCCGAGGGAGCCTGGCGCTGGATTAAAGTAAGTAACTGTAGGAGTTTTAAGCCCTACAGCGTCGAGGGAGGGGGGCCCTGAGAATGGGGGGACCAAAGGGTTCTATAGTGTCAGGAAAACAAGTTTGTTTTCCTGACACTATTGTGATCCTTTAATAGTCACCTAAACCTTCTCAACTCTGCCCCTCCACCACTCACACCACTCATTCCAGTGTCCCTTTTTGTCCTTTTGAAGTGTTGGTAGGCAACTTGCTTGCCTCAGTTTTACCATTAGGATTTATTTTGTTAAAAAAAACTTGGTGAAAAAACCCTTGTTAGAATTCCCCACAATTCACACTTGTATAATCCTGTTGGTATTTAATTAATCACAATTAAATATTGAATCCATAAATCTCTTGTGTGTAGGAGTGAATCACGCAGCAATTAATCTCATTATTATTACTACTGTCTTGATACATGCACATGTACAGTCGTCATAATATCTTTTCATTTTTTTTTGCTTTTCCATTTTAGGATGCCCTACAGGAGCCTATAAAACACATTACGAGGTGTACGTTATTGTTCGGTTGTACATTTTTCATTTGTAATTGTGCTCTTAACGTTAATCATAGGTGTTTTTATTTATTTCTACAGGAGAAACAGGATCCACATTTATGGATACCAACGGTTTTTGATGCTATAAATATATTTTATGATATTATTTCTATCCCTCATTTATTGTTTTTAAGCTCAATATTAAAAGTTGCCTAGGAACCAAAATATGTTTATTTTTAAAGGAACACTTTAAAGGAGTACTATAGTGCCAGGAAAACAAACTCGTTTTCCTGGCACTATAGGGTCATTAGGTTCCCCCCAACCTCAGGGTCTCCCTCCCTCCTGGGCTGAAGGGATTAAAACCCCTTCAGCCACTTACCTTTCTCCAGCGCTGGGCTCCCTCTGTGCTGGGGACCTCTCCACTCCCTGCTGACGTCAGATCCGAATGCGCATGCGCGGCAAGAGCTGCGCGCGCATTTAAACCGCCCATAGGAAAGCGTTACTAAATGAATTCCTATGTACGTCAGCATCTTCTCACTGTGATTTTCTCACAACGAGACAGCCACTAGAGGCTGGATTAACCCTCAGTGAAACATAGCAGTTTTAGTTTTCAGCTGCAGGGTTAAAACTAGAGGGACCTGGCACCCAGACAACTTCATTGAGCTGAAGTGGTCTGGGTGCCTATAGTGGTCCTTTAACCGCTTAAGGACCAAACTTCTGGAATAAAAGGGAATCATGACGTCATGTGTCCTTAAGGGGTTAAGCACCAAAAAAAAAATACAGCTCAGTGTAGTGGTTTTGGAGCAAGGTGTGTCCCAGTATCCTCCCAGAGTAAGATGTCAAACTCTTTTAGAACGGTTTGGCAACTTACCTGGGTCCCACAGCCATACATTCAGATTCTATACGTAAGGCCACTCTAATTGGCTGAGAGCATCAACTGAGCTTCCAGCTCTCTCAGAACACGATTGGACACTTACTTGGATCCCACCAGGGTCCTGCGCTGCCTCCAGTCTTCTCGAACAAGAGAATCTGGATACCAATTTTGTCAATTTTATTAATTGGCAATTAATGAGCCGTACAAGTTTTATATTCAACAAACTGACATGTCAATTCTCCCGCCCTGAGAAAACCGACAGCAGTGCAGGCTGATCTGATTACTCTGAGAGATTGCTTGGTATATTCCTTTAATATTGGTCACAATTTATTTCATTGCTTTTTTTTTGTTTAATTACTTTTATTATGAAATGGTGTTACTAATGCCATTATTAAAATGCCCACTGCGCTTACTTTATGTATTCAGCCCTCCACATATTTTGTGTGTGTGTGTGTTTTGTAATTTGAGTATATTTGGGAAATTCTTATTTATAACATATTTTATCAGGAAAGATATATTGAGATTTCTCTCGTTTTTAAGTATGTCCTGGGTCCACAAAACATTGCATTGATACAATAGGGTACAATAAAATACAAAGACAATATTAATACACAATATATACAAAATGTAACATAGAACAGGTAGGAAATATATAATCAACCATGACACGTGCATTCTGTTTTGAGATATGTAGAGAGGGATCTCTTAACCCCTTAAGGACCAAACTTCTGGAATAAAAGGGAATCATGACATGTCACACATGTCATGTGTCAACCATAACACATGCATTCTGTTTTGAGATATGTAGAGAGGGATCTCTTAAATGACTTTAGGGAAGATTTTAAATTGTGCGGGAGGTCGTTCCACAATTGCGACGCTCTGTAGGAGAAGGAGGATCGGGCTTCTTTCTTTTTGTATTGAGGCAGACTAAATAAAGTGCTGGTACTGGGTCGGAGGTTATAGGAAGTGGGAACAGCCGAGGAGAGCATTCTGCTCAGGTAGGGTGGGAGCTTCGCAGAAAAGATCTTAAACACAAGGCTGGAAAGACGAAGGGTGCGTCTGGATTCCAGCGACAGCCAGTTTAGTTCTTTTAGCATGTCACAATGCTGGGTCCTGTAATTACATTGTAGCACAAATCAGCAGGACGAGTTATACAATGTATAATTGGTGGAATATTTGGTGCAAGCAGAATTTACAGTTTTTGGTGCACTATATTACACTTGTGGAAAACTGATTGTTTGCACGGTCTTGATAAATGTGTTTGATGGAATTTAAAAAAAAATACACCAACACTACTTTAAGGGGACTCTCTAAGCACCATAACCACTACAGCTTAATGAGGCGGTCTTGGTGTTTAGATGCTGTCCGGCACTCTGACAAATGTAAGCATTAAAAAAGTTGGCAGCAGGTTTGAATTGAAAAAAAGTTGTTTACGTTGGTCTCCCACCTTCTCCCTTTTCCTGTCAAGGTTTAGTTATTAGCCATATTATGACTTTGTCTATTGGAAAAGGCATGTATGCATACATATATACTTTTATTCTATATTACTCATTGTGTTCTCTCAGTATTTCTTATGGTTTGAGTACAGTTCATTACGTTATTATTGTGATTCAGGCATGGCTGCTTTTCCCTGTAAATTCCCAAAGTCTCACATTTCCCAAAGTCTCAGATCATGCTCTCCTTAATACTGAAAGCACTTTATTAAATAGGCTCTCTATGACACCATGTCAAAGATGGACATTTCTGTATATAAAAAAGTGACTATCAAAGTTGCTTGTTGTTAGCCTGGAACACCTGCCCTTAATCACCATCACTGAAACACCTCTGTCCAGCTCTGCCTACTCACTTATCAGTGCTGGGAGACACAAACAGAGTTAAACATCACCATCAATTGGGAGGTATGTGCTAAAGGTAATATAGTAATAGTGTATTTGAACCATTGGCCTGACTGGTACAGGCAGGTAGGGTCTCTGATTGGCCACTCCTTCTAGCTATTTACTAATCGTTCATAATATCAAAGTTTCTGAAAAGAACTAATATATTATTGCTTGGTTTATATAAATCTCCATGTCTAATCACAAGCATGTGTATCCAGGTTTAACTTCTAAATTAAAAATGTAAATCTTTCAGCGATTTTTGGAACAAAGCAGATCCACGAATGCGAATGCTTCTCCCAGTGGCATTGAAATATCTCATATTACAATAATACAATGTGTAGTATAATGTCAATAAACCACCATAACCACTACAGCCTGCAGTAGTGGTTATGGTGCCAGGAGAAACCTGGCGCCATCCCTCGCTATGATGTCAAAAAAATGTTAGCACTGACAACTGTAAAGTAAAAAAAAACAATATTCGCAAACAATATATTATATCTCCCAGCACTGAGAGGTATGAATGCAGGACATGCGTGGGCAAGTGACAAAGTGTGGGTCACCCAGTGGTGGATCTGTCGGCAAAAGGAACAGATTTCCCCTAAAAAAGAAACTGGCATCTGTAATAGCCAGCCTTACTACGTGCTGCCCGTATCCTCTGTGCTTTAAAAGCACCATGCCATAGGTTTAATGCCAAGAGTTTTACATACATATCTTTAATGCAATGAGTGTTGCATACAAGTGCTTTCTGGGCCCTTGTTTTGTGGGTTCCTCAGAAGTAGACCACTAGAGAACAAAGCTAGGATGGGTGGCCCCAAATCGGGACGATTGTGGGATATGAAATTTACAATCTAAATTTACTATGGTTTTATTAAACTTTTAATCTGTTGGCGTGGGTGTTTAAAATGTATTTGTGCAAAGAATATTCCAGGTATCGAGGTCACTTTAAAGCACACACGGAACATATGGATAGACGTAAAATATTTTATTGCTCGTATAACAGAACAGTGCTGAAAAAGGAGTAGGTTTAAGGTGTCTACAGACCTCTGGCAACGAGCTGGCAGGATTGAAATCATAATTTAATTCACATAATGAAAGGCTTTGGATTTACTCTGCACAAAAGTGCATTTGTATGTTTAATACATATACTGTACAGCAAGCAGGGGCTTGCAGAGGAATTCATAACAAGAAAAAAAAAGAAAAAGTCCTACATCTTAAATTTCTGTGTATTAAGACAAGCAGCATGCTTTGCAAAAAAAATAAAAAAAATACTTTGGCGTGAATATCCAAATTGCAACTGGCAAATAAAGATATATTCACAGTCTTAAAGTGATAAAGGCTTTCATGGTAACTGCATTTTTCCGACACGTCACTTTGTCACTGGGCAGACCCAACTCTTTTACCCACAGATCTTTAGATATCACAATGTCATTTTGCTCATACCTGGTACTGATCAGTCATAGGTCACTGTGCTCCCTTTCAGAGCAGACCTTTTCACCCATTCGGTATGTCACTACCATTAGGTCAATGTGCTCCCTAGTAAGAAGAACTTTTTAACACATTCAAAATGTCACGATCATTAGTTCACATAGCGATCCATGTGGTACTGATCCCTTAACCTATTAAATATGTCATATTTTTGAAATAAAATGTCTTCCTTGGGTCAGATGCTTTGACCACTGAAGAAGCAACATTTTGTTTATAGAGTAATTAACATATTTTTGGGCCCATCAAAAAGGATCTGCCGTGGGTTTTTCTGTAACTCTACTGCACTCCTTAGATGACAAACATCCATTTGGCGTATAACCAAAATAGTTCGGCTTCTGATTCCAGACGTCTTCAGACTGAATATGGAGAGCACATAGCTCAAGTCTGACTTAAACACAGCCAAAACTGGACTTGCAAGCTGCCCCCTTCCTTGGATAGGAGGTCCATCTCCTAGCATTGTAAAAAACATGAAAAGGAAGTCCATTTTGCATCAATGCGGAAAACATGACAAGAAGGTCCATCTACTGCAATGCAGAAAGGAGGCTCATGTTAGGCAATAGACAGCCTGTTTTGAATGGGCTGTTGGCTCAATACATCGGCTCTTCATGCTCTGCAAAAAGCAACACCGTTATAATTTATTAAAATATATATTTTTTTTCAAAATCTTTACTACTATTAACCTCTTTTACATATATGAAAAGTATATGCTTTTTATGTGTAAAATATTTTTTACTGATGTACTACAATATGGGTCTACCTCAAGGCCACAAGACACCACTGGCCGACATGTGAACCTAGTCTACTTCAGGTCCACTTCAGGTCTACGTTCAAACCACCAAACAGCCTTGTCTACGTTCTACCCACCAGAAGACTCAAGCTGTAGCCCCACCTTACCAAAACAAAAGGTCCACTTCCTACCAGAGAGCTGGGTTACTGATCGGTGAAAACAAGTCAAACATAAAGTTGTAAAAATTGAACTCACTAACGAATGTATATACTAAGGAAACAGTGCTGCCCAATAGAGAAAGAAATATGTCTGGCTAATTCTGTTGACAGATGGCATATTACACAAGCATTCTAGAATCTGAAAGACCAACAAGTTCTCAGTTCACATCTCTAATACATACCGTGGGTCTAACACAGGCTAAACACTGATGGGGCTTGTGTGGTATAGGTTGTGTGAAAGGATTTCAGGATGGGGATAAGATTGGTGAAAGATGGTCGGAAATTCGCTTCCGTCTCCCAGCAATTTTTCATTAGCTTGTATATCTGCAAGAAAAGGACCATGTTATTGTGAGAGGAGCATGGGATGGATTTCAGTCTGATTCTAACAGACCCTATCTGGTTGTCATTTACAAGTCTGTTAGTGGTTAAACCAGTTTCTTTATAGTAACTAAGCACATCATATGCACAAAGTAAATGGGACAAGGGTAACACCTTACTCAAGACAGTTTTAAAGGGACACTACAGGTTAGGATTGATCCTATTTTAATGCATTAGGTAGAAAAATAAACGACAAATAAATTAGTAGATAAATGTCAACTGTGTCTTAAGAAGTTATAAAGGGTATAGGGCAGGGGTTCCCAACCCAGACCTCAAGTAACCCCCAACCAGCCCAGGAGTTAGGGTTTTTTTTTTTTTTTTTTTTTAAAACACCTTAAACACAACTGGGTAATCCCTAAATGCTGGGCTGTTAGGGGGTACGTGAGGACTGGGTTGGGAACCACTGGTATAGGGCAAAGGTGTATGCAATTACCTCCAGGGGACAGTCTGTAGGACACGGTAACCTCTGACCTCGCTCCAAAAGGTCAATCAGCCGCACTACAGTCATTTGTCCTTGAGTGGCTCCAATCATTTCAATGAATTTCTAGGCATAGGGACAGAAAGTAAATAGTACCAGGTACAAAATGATGCATGGATCAAACCAACAGTTCAGGAATTTGCATTTTTTTATTTTTATTTTAATTATTGGAGCTTTATTAATGTAACATTGTATTTTCTGTGATTTTTCCTGGAATTGGGGATTTGCTAAATCCTGTAAAGGTTGTATGAGGATGGATACGAGGTTTTTACTTTATCTTAGAATGCTAGATAAAGAGATATATATATATATATATATATATATATATATATATATATATATATATATATATATATATCCTTAACTAACATTATTGTTGTGAATCATAGAATGTTTGGGATCTAATCTTCCAAATGCACAATTTAGATAATGATCTAACTACAAAAGACTAACCAAGGACTTACTTAAAGAGACATGAAAGCACTTTTAAACAAATATACAAACAAAATAAAGCAAAACAAATCATATAAACTTGGCCAGATTGCATTATTGGGCAAGCCTGTATTAGATTTCTCCAGCTTTTCCCCACCCATCTCTTACCAACCCATGTCAAATTTAGACCAGTCCACTAATGATACAAAGGGGGAATCCTTGCGCAGCAACAGAAGAAAGGAACCCAACACCGGAGCTTGCACTGTATGTTCACACTGATCAGACGCCCTCTCTCCTCCCCAACAGGATTATGCAAGGTGAAGAGAGCTTCCAACTGCACATGTGTAAATCTGTAAGGAATGCCCAATGCATTTCTCCAGCATTCCTAGGGATAGGACCCTGATTGGTTGGCTTAGTGTCCCCCTTGAGTGGATGTGGAAAGCTTAAGAAAAAAGAAGCAGGTAAATATAAAGGGGGGAAAAGATTCATATATACCTGCTTATTTTTTTGGGCCTGCAGAGTGAGGCAACTGTTTTATTCAAAGCTAAGGATTTTGAATGAGACAGTTGTCTCAAAGTGATGAATGTCCCTTTATTGCCTTTTCAATAACACAGACAGCACATTGTGCCTTTGGAGCTGGCCTATGTACCCTTTTATGGCTTGATTATATGAAATTCTCAGCTATATAACAAGAGACAGTCTAATGTAACAATACACAATGTTGTGAAGTTTATTCACTAAACCCAAAATTAAAAAAGGGCAAATTTGCAAATTTGTGCCAAAAGAAACAAGTTAGAAAAACAGGCAAATTGGAGAATGCTCCCCCATCTGCCTATTCTGGTCTAAGATTTTCAGTTTCTTTCTTAGTTCTGCACAATTCACACTTAGTAAATAATTGTCTTTGTTTAACCCCTTAAGGGACAGGCTTAAGTAAATTTCTCCATGCTACTGTCCAGATCCATCACTGATCCCGGAGATGATTTATATATAAAGAAAATAAGAAAGCATTTTTTTTTTCATATTATTCATTTTTAAAGATGGACATGTGGGGATGGCAGTCCCTAGAAAATTACATAAATTACTAACAAATCAAGTAAAATACTTACAGCAGGAGGGCTAAGATAAGAGTCACATCGAGTCAGAAGCTCATACAGGGTGACCCCGAATGACCACACATCTGAAGCATAGAAGAACTTACACTCCTTGAGACATTCCGTGGCGTACCTGCAATCAGAATATTAGTTAGAGACCGCCTCTATTGGATTACAATGTAAAACACCGCTGTTTCAGTGAGACCCAAGGTTAAAAGTTAAAAGCAACATTCTAAACCAGTGATGGCTAACCTTGACACCATAAATTGTTTTTGGACTACATAGCTGAGCATCATGGGAAATGTAGTCCAGAAACAATTTATGGTGTCATGGTTAGCCATCACTGCTCTAAACACATAGAAATAGCAGTATCCCCTTAACACAAATCTACTGGCTCTCAAAATGACAGCTACTACAGTAACCTCCTCATTAAGGATTTCACGTTCAATGACGTTGCTAGTATGATGCCATCTAACACTGTGAATGCATCTCAGAGATAATCGTTAGATTCAATGCCTCTTTATGAGAAGGATCTGACATGACGGGTGCTGCCCAGTACACCTAGATTTTTTTTTTTTTATTTAATAGGAGGAGGGGCCATAAACTAAAAGTCCCCAGGGACTAAAACATGAAAAAGATAAATATCTATAAAATCAAAATGCTTCCCAATGTGGTGCAATAGGAAGCAGTTTATTCAGGAGCAGGAGAAATATGCAACATTTCGTCCTCAAGTCAAAACTTCATATATGGTTTTGTTCTCCTGATCTTGAATAAGCTACTTCATATTGCACCACAATGAGAAGCATTTGGATTTTGTTTCTGATCCCCATGCTACCATTCCCGGAGCCATGGGGAGTGGTAGCAGTCACAACTTGGTTCCCTGAGTGCAACGCTATCTTTGGAAAAAGATAAATATATATATCTGCTCTTTAACTAAGGTTTTTCCGTAAACAAAAGGCGTCTACCTTTTGGCATTAGGAAAACATGTAGAAATGGTGCAGAATGACTATTGACTAGCAGATTACCAGAACACAGGGCTGTCTCCATCTTCTCTGACCCTGTAGTATTCATGGCCTTCTGGTACGGCTTTGGCAAGTCCAAAGTCACCAATTTTAACAACATTTTCGTTTTCGACCAGGACATTGCGAGCAGCGAGATCGCGGTGTATGTAATGCTGAGAGTGAAGATAAGCCATGCCCTGCAAGAAAGGGAGGTGTTTCAATGAATGTCATAATGGAGATGCCTTTACACAATAAGGCAGACTGTAGAAACATCAGTTGTCACTATTCAATTAGATTTTCTGTAAAAAGTTCTATATCACAGGTAGACCAGTATCTGTACATGATTCATGTCCTTGTTGAAAAGGCTTTGAACCACTGTTCTAGGAGAATGTGTACACTCGACAGAGTAAGGGGTTTCAACAAAGCATACGTTTTGTAAATACATTTCCAACTTACCTCACAGATTTGTTGAGCGAACAGCAGTAACTGTGCCAGACTGACATGATGCTTAGGTAAATAATCACGCAGACTGCCTAGGGGAACATACTCCATAATCAGCTGAACAATCTTATCTCCTGAAAAAGGGAACACCAAACAACCATATTAGCCATCATCCCTGCTTTGCAAAGGGCATGCTTGTAGAAGACTAGAACGGCCATCTTGGCTGAGGTAAACAATCCTTTGTATGCAACAACAAATAGTGGGGAAATAGGTCAAAAGCTCACGACGTGACTTTGAGTGTTTTCTCCAAACTCCATGTTTTAGTTCCCGAGTGTAACGGAAAACAACTCTTGAAGTGAACATTTTGCCAATTTGTTTGTATATGTCATCAGTGGTACTAAACAGAGAAGATGAATTCCGCAATGTTCTATTCTGTGTCCCTGCCGATGTGTAGTTTGCTTGGTTTGCTAAACAATAGGGCAGCTAATGACTATCTATGAACTGATGAGCACAAGCTTGTCTTAATCTTCTGACTTCTCTGATAGAATAGAATTGAGTTCAATCTGTTGAGGACAAAATACAGGCTAGACACAGACCCACTTTTGAGTCAAAACATTGCCAGGGCACCTCATAATGAATGTAATAAGAGGCAAAGTTGCAACTATAAAAATACTTCAATATTTATTTCATAGAAGTCAAATTACAGTCGCAAAGTCTCTAAGTTTGCTGCAGATTTATGGAAAGCGAGGGTGGGTGGGTCTTGTTGAGACTAAATGGCATTTAAAAATAAAAACCTGACTTTAAAATTGAAACAAATCTCAGAAACATGATCCCACAATATGTTTAAAGGAACACTTTTAAAGACACATAAAGCACTTGAATAGAAATGAGCACTTTTATAAAAGAACTTTGTTACACCTCCACAGCTGTCAATCAGACCTCTAGTCCTGTTACTTTCTGGTTATTTAGCGTAGTGGAACTAAACCCAAGAGGCAGGCAATTGCCCAGAGCACCAACCTTGCAAAGAGTACTAAATGTAACACATGTCATTGAGAAGGCTGTGATTGGACAGCCATAGAAAGTCTGTGCTTGAGAAGAAGTGGAGGGCTTGCAGTAGCTGCAGATTTTTAATCTGCAGCTATTGCAAGCCACAATTTCATATATCACAAATAAAAGTATACGTAATTAATAGGCATATTTTATTTTAGTAGATCTACAATTTTTTGGGTGTTTCTTTAAAATACACAAAATAAACATTCATTATTATTTCCTTGAATTTTATCTGCATCACCATGAAAGAGATTGTTGCACACTGACCTTGCTCACTGCAGCATCCTTTGTATTTCACAATGTTTTCATGGTAAAGAGCTTTTAAGATCTTTATCTCTCCTTTCCAGCTGCTCTCTAGCTGTTGACTACATCCCGACTTTAGGGATTTCACTGCCACCATCTCTCCAGTCCCATCGTTATTTGGATCATAACGGTATAAGCTGACCTTTCCAAAGTGCCCCTGATGGAAGATATCAGTGATGATTCTCAATGACAAAGTGCTTCATTTGATAAAGTTCAAAGATGAAATTGTTATGTTAAATTCTACTCCGGGCCGAATTTTTTTAAGTTAATCACAACCCAAAAACATGGCACATGTTCTATAGAATTCTGTGAAACACTGATTAGAGAAACAAACTAGCAAAATATTAATGTACCTCTCCCAGTTCACGGATTTTTTTCAGGTAACGTTTTTGAAACACAGTCGGATCAGTAACAGAGTAATCTGGACTAATGGAGGCTATATCAGAAAGGTCTGCAAATTAATTAGAAAACAAAAGGAGGGAAGAGACACAGTATGAAACATGTATACTTTGATTATGATTAAATAATCCTTTTCCCCTAAAATTTGTGTGTAAACCATAAAAATAAATATAAATACTTAAGAGAATCAGTTGAAGAAACAATCCATACACCTAAAGCACTCTAACTTGTTGAAATGCTTTATGTGTGAAGAGTGTGTACTCATATTACAAAAAGTGTGGATTGCAATAGAAATTGACACTTTGATAAATTAGCCTTGTTACACACCACTGGTTGTCAATCAGACAACTAGTCTTGTTACTTCCTGGAGGCAGGCAACTGCCCAGAGCACCTGTCTTGCAAAGAATTCTCATTAAGCTGCATTGGGAAGGCTGTTATTGGACAGTCACAGAATGTATGGGCAGGGTTAGCAGGGGAGGACTTGCAAAGGCTACTGACAAGAGATCCAATGAAAAAAAAATAATGAAATGCATGCTTGTTCTCGTTGGGGGTATTATCTTATACTATATAGTGTTTTGTTTTTAATTGGGCTATGGCATTCTGAGAGACTCTAAGAGTGTTTTAAGGCAAACTGTCCTAGTTTTTTAATTTTATTTAAACAATCACATATATACTTGTCTGTCATTAAAATGCAATATGAAAGGCTTGAACACCAAGATTTACGCCAATGATCAGTATTTATAGATGCCATAATGTAAGATAACATTATCACAAGAGTGAACTAGAACGGCACACACCTTGAGGATGAAGCTGGGTCAGGTCCCGGAGAATTGTTCGGAAAGAGGGTCTTCCCGCAGGGTTGTAATTGTGGCACAGTCCAACAAGAGTAGCAAGTTCCTTGCAGGATGGTTCAGGCAGGCCAAGCTCCTTCTCATAAAACCGTTCTTTCTGCGAAGAAAACATAAAAGTATATATATTATAAAAAGAAAAAAACAATATTCAGAGAAAAAACAACTGCAATTCATAAATTTTTCTTTCATAATCCCAGGCGCCTGACTGATCTAAGGATGTGAGGAGTGAAAGGCTTTTTGATCTGTCATTGAAGTTCACCAAGGGTCCAGCTGGCATTCATACTCCTATTAAAACTGAATGGGTAAAACCTACATTTTGGGGCAGCTGGGAGCTGCTGACGATTGGCCAGCGTACAGTTTCTGTAGTAGCAGGAAATCTGAACACAGACATCAAGAAACTCTGATTTTAACATAACAGTCTGTAGAGTATTTCCTCTAGCCAGAAAATTCCTAATTTCATTACACCATTTTCTTGAATGGTATTTTTTTAGCACATTTATATTCGTTGCTGGGCAACAATGGGCAACATCATTGTCTTTAAACAAACGCCACATAATGTCCCTTTGAGAAGCCCATTAAGAATGATTATCTCTTGCTTTGGTATCATCAGAGCTTTCGCTACATTATTCAAACCTATATCTAGCCATACGTACCTCTGAAGGGGTCCTCTCCTTTAAGGGGACTTCCCCATTAAAGCAGATTTCCAGTAGTGTGGTTCCAAAGCTCCATTTATCAGCGGCTGTGCTGAGTCTGGAGACATTCTGAATGCATTCCGGCGCAATCCACGGGATTCTCTCTACACGCTCTGCAATGAGACATATAGAGTAATGCATTCCATACCACTAACAGGAAGCAGACACTTTAGATCCTTCAAAACACAGGTTTGTTACTGGTAAATTATTGAAGAGAGCAAGGCCATTATTATCATTAAGCTGTCTAACATTCATTACAGTGTAAATACTCAGTATTATCATATAGTGCTGCATGTTCACTATCATTGTACAGATACTCGATATCGTTATACAATGCAGCATGGTCATTTTAGATACTTCTAATATTGTCTTTTGTTATTATTATGAGTGCATTATTATTATTGATATTATATAATGCTGTAAAATTGGGGAAAAAAGACCACATACTACACATACAAATACAAAGGGTGAAGAGTACATATATACTCTGCAAAACTATATGATGTAGCCGTCTATAAATCCATACCTTCTCTGGACAGCACTGTGAAGGTCACCCCAGGATCGCTTAGTTTGATGAAGGGAGAAGACCTTTCCTCCAGACCTTTCCTGGCCAATAGAATATTCTTTGCACAGACATTTCCATGGACTAAGTTTTTATCTTCCTGCAGAAAAATAAATACAAAGTTATCCCCTTTCTCATAACCTACACAAATCCGGCAACAATATTCCTAATCTTACTGCACCAGACTGTCCTACAGTCCTGCCCAAACAAGTTCTAAAAGGGACACCCGAGAACACTTAAGCACTTACGTTTGCTGAGAAGCTTTATGTATAGTGTCCTATTTTTTTTTTCATTTTGGAAAAAGTGCACTTTTCAATAGAAATTGAGAGTCTTTTATAAATTATACTGGCTACACCCCCTGGCTTTTGAAGCAGACAATAGGTCCTTTTACTTCCTGGTTTGATTAGGTTTTTGCTCAGTTAAACTCAAGAGGCAGATAATTGCTCAGAGCACCTGCCTTGCAAACACTTCTCATTGAGCTGCATTGGGAAGTCTGTGATTGGACAGTCACATAAAGTTTGGGCGGGGTTAGAAGGGGAGGGCTAGCATAGGCAGCAGACAAGAGATCTGCAGTTTTTGCAAGCTGTTTTAAGATATAACTCTGATGCATAGTTAAATGCATGCAAGTTTTCATTTTTTGGTATATGTATATATGTAGTGTCCCGTAAAGAAAGCAAGTAAAGGAAACATAAAAATCATTAGATTTATTAATCATAGATGGAGTGGGTTACTGGAACCCAGATGTAGTAATTTGCTATAAAAGAGAAAATCAGGACCTCAAGTACTCAGCAAAATGAACTCAAGAGCTAAACGAGACAGATAACGTTTGAATATGGGAAGAGAGAGTTATTATGATAAAGAGGGCAACTACAACACAACTTGCACCCATACAGTAAAAACAGAACAATAACAAACATTACACTAAAATAACTGCAACAAACACACCAAAATATTTAACTGATGACAGTTCTCACTGGCTGGGAGTCAAATGTGGTCATTTATGTGTACATGTGTTTTACTGCATGTGGCATGACCGGTAAAAATACTATGTAGCAGACTCCATTCTCTTATGTTAGGTTGTCCGTACCCTCTTGTTCTTCTCCCGAAAGACTGGTGTGTGGTCCCTTGTTATGCCCCAGTGACCACCGACCTCCCGTGGCTGTTAACCACAAATGAACGGCTTGACACCTTTGATTGAGTACTTTCCCTGGGTGGCCGCCATTCATATAACTGAACGCATGTGGTCCAGTGAATGGCAGTCATTTTGTCTCCCGAACGCAGACAGCGGTACTTGGTCGTTGAACACCTGGAAATGTTTTCCACCTCGCGTCAAAATGGCCTGGGTAAAGATGGTACCGCTGCTCATCCCACTTCAACTAGACGGGATCTACCGAACAGGGGAAGTATTAGCTCCCGGGGGGAGCGTTCGTCGTTTCGTCGGTGTTCGCACAGGAACCCCCGAAAGTCAACTGGCCATCCGGCCCAATTCTCTGGAACTGTTTTGGTAACTTTCATTTTACCGAACCGATCGAAACGTTTTTTGGATATGTTGTGCACTCAGATTGGGACTTTTCGGGAATATGATTTTTGTGGGGTTCCTGTACTGTTTTTAATGTATTTGCTTTTGTATTTGAGAAATAATTGAGTTATCCTAATTTGAGCTCAATTATCTCTCAAGCACACAGGCTCTTGTGTTTTTGACTTGGAATCCCCATGCTAGAGGCAATGTATAAAAGCCATGTGTGGCAAAATAAAGTCAGCTGTACTCCCAGAACTGTGTGTCGTCCAGTTGCTGGGGAGAAGGTGGGCTATTTACTTGGCATTTTCTTGTTCCTGATTCTACTCCTGGTGATCCATACATACTACACACATGGTTTTTCGCATAACTAAGTAAATGTTTTCAATTTGGCTATTTTGGCTTTAAATTTGATAACCACTTAGAATTCTTGCTTTAGTAAATAGTCCTGTACAGAATTAAAATGAAAGAAACACTATGGGCACCCAGACCACATCAACTCATTGAAGTGGTCTGGGTGCAGTGTTCCAGGTCCTTTAACCCTGCAATTGTAATTATTGCAGTTTTTTTAAAAACTCTGATATATGCCAAGGAGGGTTAACTCCACCTCTAGTGGCTGCCTAGTAGATAGCCAAAAGAGAAACTTCCGGGTTAGGCGACTTTTGGTCGCCTGACGCTGGACGTCCTCACGTTATGCATGAGGACATCCAGCGTCACCCGAAACCCCATAGCAAAGCATTCTACAATGTGCATTAGGTTCCCCCCCGCCAGCTGAAGTGGGCAGGGGAGAAGCGGAGGCAGAGCCTCAATTAGCGCCGAGGGCATTGGCGCTGGAATCAAGTGTCAGAAGGGCGTGAGGGATGGGGCGTGTAGGTGTATAAGAGCATGCAGCCATCAAAGATGTTGTAATTTGTCTGTGCAATCCAAAATGAGACACTCAGGGAATTATCTACTAAACAGTTAATTAGGTAAATTTGCCGTAGGAAATTACAATTTTAGTCCAGAGCAGCCAAAATGCAAAACAACTGATCTGGAGATTTTCCAGTCTGGCAATTTAGACCTACAATTTGTCATTCCTCAGTCCAGTGCCCATAATCCTCAGTACTGTGACTAAATTCTTTGTTTAGCACAAAAAAAGAAACTTTAATAAAACGTATATTGGCGAGAGAACATACATTTTCCACAAAATGGCGATTAATTCCACAAAATTCAGCATAAGATTTTTTCACTAACACACAGCATGCAGAGGCTTGTTTGCCACCCTCCTTCCTCCATATTCTGCATTTAGATGACTCCGCCCCAAATCCAAACACAATTACAAGGATCTGTTCCTCTGGGTGAGTATTTTGTCATTAAATGAATAAATGTATGAATGCCATACCAGATAACTCAAAGCGCTTGCTAGTTGCGTAGCCACAGTGAATTTCCAGCCCGCGGAGATCCTCAGCTTGTCCCTTCGCAGACAGACATCCAGCGGCCCATGTTCCACAAACTCCTCCACCATGATATCTTTCAGGAAAATATAGATATATCAGGCCAGGTCGCCAGCATGACTCATTAACCCATTAAACATGCCCCTATTAGTTCTTTGTACTTACCGGTGTCATTAATCCTTTAACCATGTAGCATGTCTTGTCACTAGGTCACTAAGCCTCCCATTTGGACTGAGTCTAACTCATTAGACATGTTACTGGGCTCCCTAATCCAGGCTGACCCTAACCCCCTCCTTTCTAAATGCTCATTGTATTATAAAACAGAACATTGATCTGAAGTCTGGAATTATTATCTAGCACATAACCCTAGGACAAAAATATCAGTTTTTCTATGCAGTGACCGTTATGCCTACTTGAAAATTTATATAAATTCATGCTTATATTTCCTTTATTTGTATCTCCTTTAGGGATATATTTCAATATTACACATTCATGGTTGTTGAAGTGAGATGTAAATGTGTAATTTTGTTTCTTTCTAACAAGATTTAGTTTTATCTACAATTTGATGGCATAGCAGTAAAGGCTGCAAATACGAAAAACAGGATCAGCTGAGGTTGTAGAATCTTAGAGTACCCACAAGCCAAGATTTGCCGAAAAACCTCATGCAGCCTAATGCTCCTTTCTAGAATGACAGTTTGAAGAACAAGGAAGAGATCTTCAAGTTCTATCTATTTTTATCTATATATTTGATGGCGATTTCACCAGTCAGTACAGTATACATTTTAAACATGTACAAACTTCAACGCAAACATGCCGTGTTAAAGCCTTCAATTTGTGAATGACAGGTTCATTCATGTCAAGTTACTGTCCTTAAGTCACTATGTTCCCCCATTACCGTGCAAATATATAATATATAAGTATACTGCCTCTTCGAGTATCTCATTAAAGAAAACTGACTCTGGAAACTTACTTTCAGATTCCCACACGCATACTCCGTGAACAAACACCAGGTGGATGTGGGAAACTTGGCTCATTAAACTGGCTGTCTCGAAGAATGCCTGAGATACAGAACAAATAAAACACAAATCAAAAACTAAAACGACCAGATGATAGAAACAAATCATATATATTACCAAACACATACTTTTTGGACTTATGGAGGAGGTAATAGGCAAGGTTTTAGATGTAAATAATACCGGGGAACTTGACATTCTTCAAAAGTTGGGGGACTGCCTGTTGATTAGCCTTAGACAACTTAATATCAGCCAGAAAGAAGGACATTACTGGAGACTAACTTCTTACCAGGGCAATGTCTCTGTGACTTGGGTCTAAGGCTTTTAGGATCACCCTCTGATTGTTGGAATTATTGTTCATTTCACTGGGCTCATCGTCTTCCAGTTCATTCCCCTTGCTCACAAGCAGGAAGCCGTCATAGATATTGGTCCGCGTGCCCTGACCCAGGTGGGCTTTCTGTGTGGAGATACTCAACATCAGAAGGTAATATAACCAGAGAATGGAAAATGTCACCTTTCATTAAAGACCATTAATTCTGAATCCAATAGATAAATGTGGCCATTACTTGTCGCCATTGTGGCTTTATATATGGCTCTTAATAAAGAGTATATTTATAATAAATTAATAAATAAAATACACAAATAACTCTATAAAATAAAATATTTGTTTAACACAATTAGGGCAGTATCCAAAAATCCTTGTCTCAGACGTGACTTGCAAACAAACAATCTTGGATGTGCTATATTATTGTCCCAAACCTGCAATATCTCGTGTTTCCGGATCTGATGAAAGCTAAGCTGGCTCAGATTCAGGTTTCGGGACACCTTGCTCCCTTTGCTGTTCCTGCCTCTGCGGCAGATAGTCAAATTGGAGATTTCTGGAGTGGAAAGAACAGTAACAGATGCATATTTTAAATTAATCCAAAAAAACACATTAACTGCTACAGCTGATTAATATAGATTTAAAAAAAAAAAAAAATTTAAAAGACGGAAACAAAAAAAAAAATGAATGTTCCACCTGTGCTGTGCGTTACGAACATGTACATGTAAGGATGCATAGCACTTTATAGCAACTGCTGTAATGCAGGTTCTGCACTTAATCAGGGGCACTAGGTGAGAGGTCTGCTTGAGAAGGACTCTCTGCAACCTTCATATTGCCCCAACTCTCCTATATAATATAACAGGACCCCTCAGAAGAAAGGGGAGTTACGCCTTATAATATTCCGAGTCCTGTTATAGCCACAAAAGTGACTGTCAATGGAAATGGAGGGTTCCCGGGAGTTATATAATGGAGTGGAGAAAACAGCCCCTTTAACTCCATATAAAACTCAGGGGAACATGGACACCCTCAGAGAGAAAAGGAGGAGATCCGTTTCTCGGGAGTATAATAATTGCTGCAAAAGGGTCCCTCCATTAAGGCCAGTGGATTTTATTAGTAACGGAGCTCCTTTAATTACATAGGGATACACTAGATCTCTCACTCCCTTCAGTATCATGCCAGTATGTCTGTCCTAATGTCAGGTGAGAAGAACCCAATACTTGGATTTATGAGTAAAAATAGGTTTGTTGAGTGAAAATGGGAGGGGGTCCCTCTTATTGAACTGGTTATAGTACCCAGAGTTCCCTGGCGCTGTGTCCTATTTCAGTGTGAAACCATTTTCAAGTGGTTTAAAACCGAATGAGGGTTCGTGTCTTTCTACAGACCCTCCGTCACTGGAGGCTAAGCCAGTGATTAGAAAAACTTCCTTCTAGACATATGAATTTATACCAGCAAAGCTGTGATAAGCTGTGATAAGCTGCCCAATTGCTGCTTGGTTAATGCTTCCTCATTAGCCCAAGCAGCACAGACAGGATAGGCTAGTGGGGACTCAGATGGCATCTGGAGGCACTATAACTACTTCATACAGTGTCCCTTTAAGAGGAGTGGTTCCTTTCTCATTTGGGTGCCATTGGTTGCAAAAGGAATTAAAAAAAAACAAAAACAAAACACTTCAGTGTTTCGGTGGAGGCAAGTCATGTGACCTTGTTTATTCCCTTTCAAAAATGTCAGCCTTGGATATAATGTGTTCTCAAAGCTGTATAAAAACAGGATTGCTCAGTGAAACACCACGCCGAAAGTGATGGTTTCATTTTTAGGAACAATGCAAACAGCAGTGAATAGGATCATAATTGTATTTGCTACTTTACACTATCCTGATGTTCAAATTGTGAGTCTGTAAGTGAAAGTTAAACAAGAAGAAAATGAGGCCGACTGGTACTTTAAGGGTTGTATTCACTAATCTGTGAATTTTAATGAACTGGCAATGTAACCATTATTTTAGCACAAAAACAAAAAAAGAATTGGAAAGGAATGTAAAAAATGCTATTAGTTCTTTCCTCTTCAGTTGATATTTCACAATTCAATGTTTAGTAACACAGCCATGAGAATACAAACAGAAATAGCTGAATATGTCCAAATAGCTAAATACAGAAAGTGAAAGCACATCAGTAAAACACTCATTTCAAGAAGTCTACAAAATGACCAAACTTGTGATTGTGAAAGGAAGTGTACACTATGACATATTTACCTCCGGACTTTGGCAGTATACACTTCTTCACAGTAAATGTTTCCTCCCCTGATTTTAAGGTGAAGCCACGTAAATTTTCTGTCAATTCTTTGACACTGGGGAAGCCGCGGTCCCAGCCCTCCAGGATGTACGAGTCGCTGGTTTTCTCGATTCTGAACTGCTTGTAACTGAGACCTTTGTTCTGTTAGAGGAAGAACCCAGTGTGATTACCTCAATATACTATTTTACACATACTTAAATGTCTAGATCTCCTGCGTTATCAGAGACGAACAGTTCGGTGGGAAATGTATTCCAATGCATTTCTTTTGGCCCGTGTTTTTTAACACCTGTTAGAGCACCATAAATCACTGCTTAGTAGACTTGTGTAAAAAAATTATTTTCGCATGGTTTCTCTGAATCAAATTCATTTTAATCCACAACTGAACAAATTGATCCAGGACTTGCCTGTGGAGTCTTATTCATTGAAGTCTATGGTTTATAAAAGACCACCCTCTTACCCCAAATAAATGAATAAATATGAAATTAAAAAAATGATCTTGCCCAATCTATGGTCTAATGCAAATTGTTCTGTGATTCAAAATATGAAGACAATATCCCTACTGAAATTCCTTAAGTGAGCTGCCCATAAATAATGCATTCGTAAACCTCCATATTCATCCATTGGCTAAAGAAAATGACTGAATAACACTTGCAGAGGGAAAGGCAGCTACCAACGTTCTTCGTCCAATCATTCAGAACTATTAATTTTAAAGGGAAACTCCCATGTCAGTCTCTTGCACTGCAACAGTTCTTGTAAATTCCTCTGTCCACTGGTCTGAACAGTGCTCGATCACATAAATCTCGTTACTTTTATGAGATCTCTTATTGATTTCTAAGAGACAGTGTGAAAGTGCAACCACAAATAACACGATTTATAAGACAAAAAAAAAGGAATGAATAGAGTTCATGTAAAACAATGCAGCATATATAAATGTGCATAGCAGTTTCATTCCTGAATCTTCAGAGTACATAGATAACACAAAGCGCATACAGAAATGTCCAATGGACTCAAGGTCTAATTGACACAAAATGATCCCTAATGGATATAAACAGAAATAAATGTACAATTTTTTTAGAAAAAAAGAGGACAAACAAAAACAATTAGTAACCATTAAAAGGCCAACTAAGTGGCTCCGCAGATGGATAGGGGGAGAGAATATGTGCTAGGACTGGGTGGGGGTAGGCTGTAGGGGATGGGAGTTGGAGTCTACAGTGTAGCGCTATGTAACGGAAGCATATAAGACTTTGCAATTAGGTTGGTTCATGTATGATTAGCTCTTTCGTCAGAAACTGGCGATCAATCCTAATTTAAATAGGGAAAGAGATTATGGGATTGTGGCTAATTTTTAATCTTCCACAAAATAATTATGTGATGAATGAATTGTCTCTTGATGGAAATATGTTAATGGGACACAATAGTCATCACAACAACTTTAGCTTAATCAGGCAGTTTTGGTGTTTAGATCTTGTCCCTGCAGTCTCACTGCTCAATACTCTGCCATTTAGAAGTTAAATCACGTTGTTTATGTAGCCATAGGCACACCTCCCTGCATGTGACTTGCACAGACCTCCTAAACACTTCCTGTAAAGAGTCATCTAATGTTTATACTTTCTTTATTGCAAATTTTGTCCAATTTAGAATTTCTTATCTCCTGCTCTTGTAACAGCTTGCTAGACCCTGCAGAAGCCTCCTGTATGTGATTAAAGTTCAATTTACAGAGCAGGAGAAAAAACGTTTAAAGTAAGTTACACCTGATTGAAAATGAAACCATTTGGTTCTTTCACAATCAGGGATGGTGTAAAGAACTTTAGGGTTAGGGCCCAAAAAGGACCCAGGTTATTTTCCTTTAATTCATCACTTGTCTTTTCCTTTGGGTGTATCTCTGACGACAAACTGGATATGTATTCATTTGGAATGTCTTATTTGTCTTTGGATGATGAAATACACTGGGTTAGTTTTAATGGAAAGAGGGGCTCAGATGGCAAAGGTGGATATTGAGGCTGCCTTTCGTTTGTTGCCTATTCACCCTTGTGGTTTTAATTCAGTAGGCTTTTTTTTACGGTCAATGTTTGCCAATGGGATGTTCTATTTCATGTTTTTATTTAGAGGCTTTTTCTATGTTTATTGATTGGGTTATAAGTTTAAAGTCCAATATGTTTTTAATTGTTTCATTATTTAGATTATTATTTTTTTTTTCATGTTCAGCTCAAGGTGACGAATGTAAAAATGTATCAAACCCGTTTTGTGATTTTGAGAAATTGGCAGCTGAAAAGACAGTCAAACCTACCTTGTCGTTTACAAATTCTAGGAATTAATAATGATTCCGTTTCTATGGACTGCCAACTTCCATTTGAAAAAATTCAGAGAATGAAATTAGAAAATTATTTTTAAAAAAAAGAAAGCAACAGTGAAATATTTTCAATCCTTACTTGGCCTTTTGGCTTTTGCCAGAAGAATTTTGCCAATGCGAAGTATATTGCGTAGGTGAATGGATTTAGCTTGTTCTGTTAAGAATTTGCCTTTTCATAATGTTCGTGTAACTGTGGCCATTAAAAAGGATCTGTTAGTGTGGAAAAGTTTGGTTTGAGGCCGGTTTAACAAACATTTAACATTATTGAAACTTTTATCTATTGTTTTAGAAATTTAGAATTGGAGAAAAAATTTAGCAAAAGGATTTTTTTTTTTTAATGGTAATAAACTTTCGGAAGTCGCAAAATCAGAGTTTGTAGTTAGCTTGTAAAGAAATTCTGTGTTATTAGGTTTGTGTTTTACCATCTGGTTGAAGGCGGTACATATTTCAGGCTAACATAATGCGGTAGCGGATTATTTTTTCACATTTTCAGTTTGACGGGTTTTAAGGTTTGACTCCGGAGGCGGGAATTAATTTTGTACTAATTGATGATTATTCAAAGAATGCACTGGCACCATTCTCTTGGTCTGGCTATGTTACGGCATGGAATAAATGGTTTAACTTTCATTTGAACAAGGCAGACCAATGTGGGGGTCAGGTGAAGTTTATTATTAAGTCCATGCTAGGTTTAATAAGTAAAAGCGTTGTATTTTCTAAGTTAGCAGGTATTACACATTTTTTAAACTTTTAAAAGAAAGACCTGATAGTTCAGGATTTTATGAAATAGCTGTTAAATGGCTATATAAAAGGTTTTAAGATTCTGAATAAAATGAGACCAATCGGTTACAAAATGTTGAAAGAATTGCTGAATGTCTTGTCGATTGTTTCTTTTTATGAACTGTTTTGATTTAGAGCAGCCTTAGTATTAGCCTTTTTTTTTTTTTTTTTTTGCAGGGTTATGTATAAATAAGCTGGTGTGATTTAGCAAATTTAAGCTCTCAGGGTTGCAATTGGTGATGTTTGTTTTCAAGGCGATAAATTGATCTGCTGGATTCGGAAGTCAAAAACTGATCATGAAGGCAGAGGTCAATGGGCGCAGATTTTTCCTTTAGAGCAGTGCTCCCTAACCCTCTCCTCAAGGCACATCTAACAGTCCATGATTTAGGGATTACCCGGTGTGTCTAAGGTGTTAAAAAAAACAACAACCATAGAGTCCATCAATAAATCCTGGACTGTGCCTTGAGGAGAGGGTTGAGGAGCACTACTTTAGAGGACAAGATTGCTTGTCTAGTAGCCTTGGTCCTAGAATATCTGTTATCAAGACCTAAGTTGAATGGACCTTTTCTAATGCATTCTGCGGGTTTGCCTCTGTCCAGATTTCAGTTTGTGTGTGTTTGAATAAGCTGAACTTGTGGCATTTACCTATCTGTTCATACTCGTTTTGAATTGGGATGGCTACTGAGGGGGCCAATATAGGTTTAACAGAAAAAGTAGTTGAGTGGATTGGAAGATGGAAATCTACTCATTATAAGATTTATGTTCGGCGACAATTATTTAAATTAATCTTTTTAATTCACAGATTCATCGAAAGTGGTGTGGGTAGTCGGACATTCATTTACAGAATGTGCCCAGAAGAGGGATAAAGGTTTATCGGAATCAATCTTGGGTATACTGTGGAGTCATGTATATAATTTACTAGTAGGGTGTTAGCAGCTTAAAACTGTCACAAGTTATGGACGTTATTAATGAATGTTTTGTTGAGCTTCCCTCCCCGGACATTTTTATTTTACACATAGCGGGAAATGACCTTTGATGTTTGAAGTCATTGCTTATTATTCAATTTCTTAAAAAGATATATTTTTCCATTCAAAGCATGTTTCCAGGAGCAGGTTTGGTTTGGTCAGAAATGATACTTCATTTCAGTTGGTTTCGGAGGCATAATCGGCGCGCATTAGAGAAAACTAGACAGAAAATGAATCGGGCCATTTGCAGTATAATGGTTTTATTTAAGGGTTTCAGCTAAAGACATGCGGAATTGGAGGGAGGTGGGTGAGGATGAGGACAACGTCCAACTATCAGCCATCGGTTGCGATATATTCAACGTTGGGTCGCAAACTATTGTTGAGAAGGCCGGGGTTTGGGCAGCCAAAACAAAGAGTTAATTCCTTATGTTTTGGCTGTGGGGTAGCGGTAAACAAACGGTAAGGCGGTTTTTGGTTTAATATGTTGAGTTAATGTATTTATTTGCACACAAACCCCAATAAATATTACCACAGCCTTACGGCAATCATTAATTGGTGTCTGGTGTATTATTTATTATTCACTACAGCATGCGCTGCATCTGTCACTTAAACAGTTTTGAACTTTATACGGACAAACATATTAAACAATTTAAAAAAGACCAGTATCACACATTAACAGAAATCACACTGTTGTTATTTATTCCCACTCACCTGGCTGGTGCTCTTCACAGTCATTATCATTTTATTAAAACTGAAGGAGCTCCACCGAATAATATAGAGACCGTCCTCCTGCTCCTCCCGCTTCAGCTTTAGAGCCACATACTGCTCACTGTGAAAAGTTATAGAGAGAGGTTATAGGGAGTAATAGTAGGAGTTATAGTGAGAGGTTATATGGAGTAATAGGAGGAGTTATAGGGAGAGGTTATATGGAGTAATAGGAGGAGTTATAGGGAGAGGTTATAGGGAGTAATAGGAGGAGTTATATAGAGAGGTTATATGGAGTAATAGGAGGAGGTATAGAGAGAGGTTATATGGAGTAATAGGAGGAGTTATAGAGAGAGGTTATATGGAGTAATAGGAGGAGGTATAGGGAGAGGTTATATGGAGTAATAGGAGGAGTTATAGGGAGAGGTTATATGGAGTAATAGGGGGAGTTATAGAGAGAGGTTATATGGAGTAATAGGAGGAGTTATAGGGAGAGGTTATATGGAGTAATAGAAGGAGTTATAGGGAGAGGTTATATGGAGTAATAGGAGGAGTTATAGGGAGAGGTTATATGGAGAGTTTATAGGGAGTAATAGGAGGAGTTATAGGGAGATGTTATATGGAGAGGTTATAGGGAGTAATAGGAGGAGTTATAGAGAGAGGTTACATGGAGTAATAGGAGGAGTTATAGAGAGAGGTTATATGGAGTAATAGGAGGAGTTATAGGGAGAGGTTATATGGAGTAATAGGAGGAGTTATAGAGAGAGGTTATATGGAGTAATAGGAGTAGTTATAGCGAGAGGCTATATGGAGTAATAGGAGGAGTTATAGAGAGAGGTTATATGGAGTAATAGGAGGAGTTATAGAGAGGTTATATGGAGTAATAGGAGGAGTTATAGAGAGGTTATGTGGAGTAATAGGAGGAGTTATAGAGAGGTTATGTGGAGTAATAGGAGGAGTTATAGAGAGAGGTTATATGGAGTAATAGGAGGAGTTATAGAGAGAGGTTATATGGAGTAATAGGAGGAGTTATAGGGAGAGGTTATATGGAGTAATAGGAGGAGTTATAGAGAGAGGTTATATGGAGTAATAGGAGGAGTTATAGAGAGGTTATATGGAGTAATAGGAAGAGTTATAGGGATAGGTTATATGGAGTAATAGGAGGAGTTATAGGGATAGGTTATATGGAATAATAGGAGGAGTTATAGTAAGAGATTATATGGAGTAATAGGAGGAGTTATAGAGAGAGGTTATATGGAGTAATAGGAGGAGTTATAGAGAGAGGTTATATGGAGTAATAGGAGGAGTTATAGAGAGAGGTTATATGGAGTAATAGGAGGAGTTATAGGGAGAGGTTATATAGAGTAATAGGAGGAGTTATAGAGAGAGGCTATATGGAGTAATAGGAGGCGTTTATACAGTTAATCAGAAAGACACCAGAAGGGAAAGGGTATATATTGAAATCTGTTTACTGAAGGGGTCCGTGTATTCCGTTTGTGACGCTCATCACCAGACGTGGGGGGGCGACCTCATGGCACAGGTAGTGGTTAGAATCTGTTGTGAGTCGAAAATATCCATCCACCAAAGACACAAAAGACAGAGCTTGTTCGTACGAAGGTAAAACTATCTCCTGGAGAGAAGACAGAAACCATATTGAAGGCCACCAAGGTAAAAACTGGACTATTTCACTAATATCAGTGGATAGACTTGTAGCTAATCTACTCCATGATGGCACATAATGCAAATGGATGAGATTTACAGCAGTGACAGAGACCTTGGCACAACTGGCAATGGGAATATATATTCAGAAACCTTGGGATGCATAGATTGGCAGTCACTGTCTTGTTTTAACAGGTCCCTTTGGTAAAGGCAGCTGATGCACTCACCAGGCATCGATTGTCCTGACAGTTGACGCTGACTCTGCTCCTGCTGATCACAATGTGGGTAATGTCCTGAAAATCACAGAACTGCTCCCATTTGGGGGAAGTCCTTTCCTGAGAGGCTTTAGCCATTTTCTGTCCTTTGATCTTCTTCTTACTGAAGTAGTTTTTCTGGACCACATTCTCTGTGTTTTCCTGAGCCATTTAAAGAGACAATAAAAAGGAAGTGTGAGATACATCGGTCTGGCTAACGAGATTTATCATTACAGGGAATTTATTAAAAATAAATCCCCAAAAATTCACATATTGAGGGTGTTCGCTCTCTCAGAATTATTCAGTGAAGCGGAAAATGTAAAATGTTAGGACTAAATAGCTAAAATGGAAAAATAGTTGACTTGGAGAGGTTTTCTCTTTTTCGGCTTTTATGGTCTAAAATTTTAAACTCTTTAATATTTCCTGAAAATTCCCAATTTAGTGAATAACCTTGTAGGTGATGGTATATAATCAACAACGATTACACACAATCTAGTCATTTCAGTGCATCCTAATCAGAATATACTTTATGTATGCTCTAAGCCAGAGACAGCAAACTGTCACATCCATCAAGTCTGCAACGTACATTTCTCATGAGTGCCAAAATTTAGTACCTTAGGTTCTACTTTACAGGAATGTCTAATGTGTCATTCACTCCGTACGAATACATGGCAGCTCTATGTCTTCATATTTGGGGAGCAGACAGTCTTCTGAGCCGCTCTCAGGGTGAGGAGGAGGGTTACATCCAGCCTTTATCTGAGTTTCTGATCCGGATGCAATGATTGTGTCTCGTGTGGGCAAATACATTGTCTCTATGCTAGATCTGCACCTTCTGAGAATGCATTTTATCCTTTATCTTTTCTAAAATAAAAGTATTACAGAAAGCATTATGGCCCTGTTTTTATCTTTGTTTATTGATTTGATTTTGTTGGTTTGGAAGTATTCATCCCGTCTCCAGCCTTCTATCGATCTTTATGACATCTGTCCATCAGTGCTTCTATCTACATTTGGGATTTAAGTCTGATACTATAGTATTTCAGCAGAATCTATAGGTCTCCTGTTTGTTTCTGTGGAAGGAGCCCAGGCATTCAGTGGTTTTTACAGATGATACATTGTGGACTAGATTGTATAATTTTTATTACATTTTGGATGTTTATTGTCTTTCTTTGTGTACAATATGGACATGAACTGATATTACCAATCCAGACTTTGAGCCAATCTGACTGCGGTACATTTTATTTTTCTCTAATCACTGTTTAGTGGATGTATTCCACTCCCCCCCCTAGCCCCCCCCCCACCCCCCCGCCCTTGTTTTAGTACTTGTTTATTTTTTTCGATTCCTTTTTTTTAACCTACTCCTGGTCGCTGCATTAGGTTTTCCTCTTGCTACTATATATTTTTTTGTTGTCGTTTACCATATACAATGACATTTAGAAACAAACTGACAATAGTCAAGAAAGATAAACCAAAAGAAATATTGCAGACAACGAGAAAGCTCATTTTTGAACTGTCCATCATGTAGCATTGAGATATTTATAGCTAACCTCTTCTTTGGAGGTCATCCACTGGATTCCATCCATTCCACTGACCATAACCAGAGCGGTAGTGGTAGGATCCTTGTTCGTGATCTCAGAGTGCTCCAAATAACCTCCGTTAATGTAAAGAGGGAGCTTCTCTCCCTCAGTTGGAAGCTCAAGGGAGAGAGCCTTAAATTCTTCACAGCCAAATCGGGATGACAGGTTTTCCAAAGTAGAAAGGTATTTGTACATGACATCTTCTTCGGTAAGCTTCCCAGGACCCACTGTATGGAGGTGGAAATGGCGAACAAATTTCTTAAAGACATTCCTCATACGGAACTTGGTGAGATAATTATTCTGCTGGATCTGTCGGCAAAATGACTTTGGGATGCACTCTTTGAAGCTGGAAAGACAGAAAATCAGAATTTCAGCAGACATTAAAGTGAAGATGAGAAGTGGATTGTTTTCCATCTCTAAAGCATCAGAATACCCTATCATTAAAATAAATGGATTTGAAATGGCTTATTACATAGAGAAGATCAAATATGTGGAATCTGTGGTATTAAAGGGACACGCCAGGCACCCAGACCACTTCTGCCCACTAGCCTTAACCCTGCAAGTGTAATTAATGCAGTTTTTATAAACTGCAATAATTACCTTGCAGGGTTAACTCCTCCTCTAGTGGCTGTCTGCTATTTTCTGTGCTATAGCGTAGCTGGACGTCCTCACGCTATCGGAGGTGGGAGGGAGAGGGGACCTGCAGTGCCAGGAAAACGGATTGTTTTCCTGGCACTGGAGAGTCCCTTTAACTGCTGCATGAAAAGCCATATTTTAGAGAAAACTGGAAGACACAAACATATAAACTAAGCTGGTTGGGTGCTGAAGAAACACGCACCCCACCAGAATACAGGATACTATTACCAAAAAAGTTAACCCCAATATTTATAATGTTTTAAATGTATACTGTCCTTTGTAGTCCTTTAGTTACATAGTAGATAGAGGTTCTCTGCAGCAGACCTCGCACGTATAAGTTGGACAAAATTCATAAATCACAGTTGGAAGTAAACACTCCTCATTTGCTATGTCTGAGTGAGATGAACAGGTCTGTAGTTGTAGTTGCATGTTCTACAAGTGGCTGCTTTTACAAGCCACACACCTCGGAAATCGTGCAAAGTTGTTATAGTGCCAATAATGGCCATTTAAAAACCAATTACAGCCTTCTGTCTGCTTTAAATATAATAAATAATTAAAGTAAAAGACCCTTTTGAGTAGTCAAGTAAAATTGATTAATTGATACGTTTAATCTCTCTGAAGAATTTCTTTAAAAGTGAGGTTTTATATGAAATCAGGCATTATGGTTATATAGATGTTAAATAACTGTCTCAAAAAAACAAAAAAACTTTATTATTAAAACCAGAAAATGTTGCTAAATGGATTAGCATGTACGGTGGAGGTAAGAAAGGAATGGCTAGTCAACCTATCACCAAACTGAATAGCGGAAAGCATTCTCTACGGAACACTCACCTAACCTGCCTCGCCACTTCTTCCAGTGAAATCTTCTTCTTGATGGCAATATGAGACAGGTGAAGCACTGCCATACCGAGGCTCTCATTCTTAAATCTGTGGATATCCTGCTCTGTCCAGAAATCCTTCAGTGAAGCCACATCATTCACAAAGTCAAACTTCCCCTGTAACAATCAGACACAGGAACATTGTCATAAAACAGGAAAATAAACTCAGTTTCTCATAGCTCCCTCCTGTCTGTGTCGACCTGTGCTGGGAGGGACACACTCCATGTCCCATAGATCCCTCCTGTCTTTGTCACCCTGTGCTGGGAGGGACAGACTCCATGTCACATAGCTCCCTCCTGTCTGTGTCACCCTGTGCTGGGAGGGACAGACTCCATGTCCCATAGCTCCCTCCTGTCTGTGTCGACCTGTGCTGGGAGGGACACACTCCATGTCCCATAGCTCCCTCCTGTCTGTGTCACCCTGTGCTGGGAGGGACAGACTCCATGTCACATAGCTCCCTCCTGTCTGTGTCACCCTGTGCTGGGAGGGACAGACTCCATGTCACATAGCTCCCTCCTGTCTGTGTCACCCTGTGCTGGGAGGGACAGACTCCATGTCCCATAGCTCCCTCCTGTCTGTGTCGACCTGTGCTGGGAGGGACACACTCCATGTCCCATAGCTCCCTCCTGTCTGTCACCCTGTGCTGGGAGGGACAGACTCCATGTCACATAGCTCCCTCCTGTCTGTGTCACCCTGTGCTGGGAGGGACAGACTCCATGTCCCATAGGTACCACATGTCATTTCCTAGCAATGTTCAAGTTGTGGTGGTGTTGATGGGAACATTATTCATGTCTTCCTGTATCCTATTACCTGTTCAAAGAGGTATTCAAAAGATGCCAGATCCAAAATGCTATCTGCTAGATCAGGGTGGCTCTTATCCTCGATGCTATCATTGCTCTTTGGGACATTGCGACACACTGCCGGGTCCTTCTCATTCAATGCATGCCAATTTCTGAAATAATACCTGAAACAGCAAACAGAAACATTTGATTGTAGAATGGGCCGAGAGTACACGTGACCGTAATAAGTACCAGAAACATTGACATGCAAAGGCAGACTGACCACTCAGGCATATCGGTCATTGATCGAAGGCCCGTGGCAGTCAGGGGCCCGGATGCCTAGACAAGGCATCGGATCTCTCCATCTGGTCCAGCATTATTTATTGTGCTTTATTCCGGCGATAGTTGCGGGCCCGGCCTGTGTGGGACCTGCATCTATCGCAGTATCACCTCCCAACTCTTCCCTCCGCAGTGTGAGACCTGGCAGCACGATTGTCCCCCTTCTCAGGTCTCTTCACTCTCCCTGCGCGGTGCAGTACAGGCAATCTGTGTGGGATGAGCAGATGGGAAAAGATGTGCAATCACATACTCTGCTCTCATTCCACACATGCAGGGCGGCCTTAACACATCCACAAGAGGAGCAGCACCTGGGAGACAGAGAGCTGATTGAATGCAGCCAGGAGGATACAGACAAATCCAATTGCACAGTATATAGTAAAAAATATGCAATAAAATAAAAGCAGATATCCTACTCACAATTTCCAGAGCAATAACTTGCTCACAAGCCCATACCACCAGAGCAAGTTTTTGCTCTGGAAATTGTGAGTAGGATACCTGCTTTTATTTCATTGCAAATTATTTACTATATACTGTGCCATTGGATTCTATTCTGTTTTTTCCTATATACGGTTGCGGAGAACTGGATACCAACTACAGAGACTATCCACATATCCTAAGACGGGGATTATACTACCCATGCGATATACAGCAGAGCTCTTAGTAGCTCTAAAAAGTGCGAGTTAGTCTTTTTTATTGGGTTTTTATATACACATGTTTTAATATTTCTGCAACTTATTGCACTATTATTTTTTCATGTTCTTATTTTTTTGAGCGTCATATATACCACCACAATATTGGACTTTCCCCAGTGTATGTATATATTACTATTTTATTGCACGCACTTTTAGAATTGTTCATCTTTTTGCGCGGTTTACCATATTGTTGTTTGTTACTTTCTAATAAAATACTGCCTGTTTTCATACACGTATACAACATGCATATGACCTCCTGTATTTTTTACTCCCTGGCACTACACTAAATATTCTCTGGGTTTCACACAAATCCTCGTTACACAAATACATACGTTGACTCATACAATTGTACTTTGAGACTACATAAATACAAGACCACATTAACATTCTTGCCGTAGACAAAATGTATCTCTCTATTTACACGCAGTGTTCCACTACACTTAAATATATCAGTGAATTCACACACATTGATATTCTACAAATACGCATGCATTTATACTGGCACCATATGCAGAAACATACATTCACATTGATTTTAAATGTTAAAATGCAAACATGCATTGATAAACAATATATGCATCAAATGTAATGCACAACATTATCTGAAAGTTATATTTAAAATTGATCAAATAAATATATTAGCCTTCAAAGGGCCCAGGACCTAATTTTGCCAGTGAGCCCAAATGGCTGTCAGTCCATCCCTGATGACATGGTGGAAACATTTCCCTCACCTCATGCGGAAATGGAGAACAAGCTTCATATCTTTGGAGATTTTAAAAACATGGTTGGGTGGATACCAGTATTTCTCCTGGATATCATAAAGTGCAAACAAAGTATAGCACAGCGGACTAATTCCTGAAATACAGACAGAAAATACATTTTTAAGACACATTTACTGACATTTTTATGTATTTGCTTGAAAATGATGTATGAGTCTCAAACAACAGCTTTCCTATTTCACTTACCTATTGGCAGGAGGGCCAGACTCCATGTGCTATTGGTCTGCCCTGTCTATGTCATACTGCTGTGAGTGGGCCAGACTCCATATCCCATAGCTCCCTCCTGTCTCTGCCACCCTGTGCTGGGAGGGACAGACTCCATATCCCATAGCTCCCTCCTGTCTGTGTCACCCTGTACTGGGAGGGACAGACTCCTTGTCCCATAGCTCCCTCCTGTCTGTGTCACCCTGTGCTGGGAGGGACAAACTCCATGTCACATAGCTCCCTCCTGTCTGTCTCACCCTGTGCTGGGAGGGACAGACTCCATGTCCCATAGCTCCCTCCTGTCTGTCTCACCCTGTACTAGGAGGGACAGACTCCATGTCCCGTAGCTCCCTCCTGTCTGTGTCACCCTGTGCTGGGAGGGACAGACTCCATGTCCCATAGCTCCCTCCTGTCTGTGTCACCCTGTGCTGGGAGGGACAGACTCCATGTCCCATAGCTCCCTCCTGTCTGTGTCACCCTGTGCTGGGAGGGACAGACTCCATGTCCCATAGCTCCCTCCTGTCTGTGTCACCATGTGCTGGGAGGGACAGACTCCATGTCCCATAGCTCCCTCCTGTCTGTGTCACCCTGTGCTGGGAGGGACAGACTTCATGTCCCATAGCTCCCTCCTGTCTGTGTCACCCTGTGCTGGGAGGGACAGACAATATGTCCCATAGCTCCCTCCTGTCTGTGTCACCCTGTGCTGGGAGGGACAGACAATATGTCCCATAGCTCCCTCCTGTCTGTGTCACCCTGTGCTGGGAGGGACAGACTTCATGTCCCATAGCTCCCCCCTGTCTGTCTCACCCTGTGCTGGGAGGGACAGACTCCATGTCCCATAGCTCCCTCCTGTCTGTGTCACCCTGTGCTGGGAGGGACAGACACCATGTCCTATAGTTTCCTCCTGTCTGAGTCATTCTGTGCTTGGAGGGACAGACTCCATGTCCCATAGATCCTTCCTGTATGTGCACTGTGTGTGGGGAGATTCCTGGCAGCATTGCGCTGAAAGGAACAGACTTCTACATTACATTGTTCGCACGGCTATCCTGCGATGGGAGGAGAGAATTCTCCATCTTACAGCCCCATGTTTATTATTAATACCCACTTAAGATTTCTGTCCATTTCTTACCAATCTTCTGTGCAATGTGTATGCAGATTTCCTCTGCAGTTGTAACGTCCTGTGTGTAGCTGACATAATGCTCCTGATCATTGCTCCAGTACAGATAGACCCGGAGTCCTGCTCCAGTGTAGCTGCAGCGCTCCATACTGACACTAGTGTGCCGCACTGCTCGTTGACAGAGAGACATTTCTAGGGTCGGAGCTAGGTCTCAGACGTGTGCAGAACAATGCAGAGCACTGATTTGCAATCTATGGTACGGGAAACATATGTAAGTAACACCATCTTTTACAATAATACGTAACACCATTTTTTTTTTTTTTAATTAAATGTAGAAACAAAATTATGCAGGGAATGAGAGAAAACATAAAAGAACTATTGATGTATAAAACAAAAGGAATTTAAAAATAAATAAATAAAACAACCTACCTACAGTTAAATAAGGTTTTTAGTACTGCTTTACGAGCATAAATTATGAGCTCATTAACTACAAAATGTAAAATAAAAATTTGGGGGGGAAAAAATACAAAAATTATAAGCTCATCTGTTAACATCAACCATTGCTTCTTGAGAATTTTATAAAGTATGATGTTGCCATTTGTTTTTTAATTCACAATACAGTGTTTAAGAATAATCCCGATTGAGTGGTGAACAAATGTTAAACTGTTTGGAAATGCCCCTGATAACTGATATCTTCCTGCAGCATATGAATTCTACATACCACAAGACAGCTCTTTTCATGGATTGCCAGTCAGCATAGGGTAAAGGTATGGGTCCAGGAAAACATGCGATAACCCTCTCCTAAATGCTCTGTCCTGTCTCTTCTATTTTTTTTATCCCCGGCAATCCAATATAGTGGCCACTTGACGGTCATCATCCAATGATCCAAATAATGTTCTCCCCAATATTTTTTGCTCCCATTTGTCCCATCTTCCATGGTCCTTTTGGCCTCTGGTTTCCATTAATTAACTTTTTGGGTTAAGATTTATGAAGGCAAAAGGCAAATGCTCTTCTAGGGCAAAGTGCAAAATAAGGAGCAAAAGAATACAGCTCAACATCTAGCACTTCGAAGACCACCTGTTTTTCCATGATAAATCCCCCCTGGTGTTCTCCCTAGTGTCCTGCTTGTTTGACCTTCAGGTAGCCTCCTCTGTTCCACTGCCTAGTGTCTCCCGTGGCCTGACCCCATATTACAGTGTCAGCTGTACTCCTGTTAGAATCTTGGCCAAGTCCGGTTCTACTGCTTCTTTTATTCTTCATATCAATAGACTCCCAGACTACTCTCTCCATCCTTTGTCATTCCCCAGCTTATACATGTTCAATTGTTTCCTCTATCTATTGTATTGTAGAATTGTCCCTTGTAATCCATTACCTACAGCCACTTTCTCCTGCTTTCCTTCTGTTATTGCAGTATCCCCCGGAACGGCTGTATTTCGCACACCTATTGCATCCCAGAGCAATTTTAGTAGGAATGTCCTCTGCATGACAGGTTCATCATAAAACCAGCTCTAAAGGGACCATAGTGACCTCATGCGTTCAATACCATCACTCGGCAGATAAGATTTCCCTTAATCCCATAAACATGATATATTAATCATACAATGTCATGTAATCAATTATGTCATCGATGAGGTCGTGCACAAGATCAGGAGAGCAGAGTAATCAATAACTGCCGCCCTCTCTGTAACTGTAGACGGAGAAAAGAAATAAAAATGATCTATACTTTGTGCATGTAAGCGTACAGTTATCTAATGGTATTATTTTGTTCTCCACGTTTTACATGAATCAGAACACAAAATACACTAAGAACGAGTAAAACAATGTAACGTGGGATTCCAAAATATAAACGGTAGCCCCCAGCCACCATGATGCTCTGTGCATTGGGAATTCCAGGTGCAAACAATGGTTAAAATGTTTGCTAATCGAAACAGATTGTCACATTTGGGATATGGTGTATTTTTAACCCAGCAAATACATACACTAACCAGCCACAATATTAAAACCACTGACTTGAAGTGAGTAACATTGATTATATTGTTACAACGGCACCTGTCAAGGGGTGGGATATATTAGGTAGGAAGTGAACAGTCAGTTCTTGAATTTCATATCTTGGAAGCAGGGAAAGTGGGCAAGTGAGTGACTTTGACATGGGCCAAACAGTGATGGCTAGACAACTGGGTCAGAGTATCTGAGAAAAGGCAAGTCTTGTGGGGTGTTACGGGTACGCAGTGGTTAGCACCTACCAAATGTAGTGCAAGGAAGGGAGAAGTGGCATCAGGGTAATGGGCTCCCAAGGCTCATTGATGCACGTGGGAGCGAAGGCTAGCCCATCTGATCCGACCACACAGAAGAGCTACTGTAACTCAAATTCTGGAAAACGTAATGTTGGCCATGATAGAAAGGTATCAAAACACACAGTGCATCGCTGTTTGCTGCGTGGCCGCAAAGTAGTCAGAGTGCCCATGATGACCCCTGTCCTACGCCAAAAGCGTCTTTATTGGGGAAGTGACAATGGAAGAAGGTCTGATGAATCACGTTTTCTTTTAGATGAGGTGGATGGCCGGGTACACGTGTGTCAGTTTCCTGGGGAAGCGATGGCAGCAGGATGCACTGTGGGAAGAAGGCAGGCCAACGAAAGCAGTGTTATGCTCTGAATAATGTTCTGCTTGGAAATCTTGGGTCCTGGCATTCATGTGGATGTTACTTTGACACGTACCACCTGCCTAGAAATTGGTGCAGACCACCTACACCCCTTACAAGACAATGGTTTTCCTTGATGGCAGCTGCCTATTTCAGCAAGATAATGCACCCTGCCACGCTGTTCAGGAATGGTTTGAGGAACATGACAAAGAATTCAAGGTGTTGCCTTGGCCTCCAAATTCTCCAGATCTCAAACCAATTGATCATCTGTGGAATGTGGTGAAACAATAAATCCAATCCATAGAGGTCACACCTTACAATTTGCAGAACTTAAAGGATCTACTGCTAATGTCTTGGTGTCAAATAACCCAGGACACATTTAGAGTCCATGTCTCGAAGCATTAGAGCGCGTTTGGCAGCACTAGGGGGACCTACACGACATTAGGCAGGCGGCTGATTAGTGTAGATTTCAATCAATAAGGCATTGTGACATCATATATTCATATCATCATACAATTATTTTCTGAAAGGGCACGCATATGGCATTCCATGCAAATTAAGTGAAATGTTCCCATTTTTTTCAGTGCAGTTAAAGCGTGTCTATTTGTAGCGTGCATTTGACTTATGAAATTTGAAGTAATGGTAAATGAAAGAAAAAACACTCACACTTAACGCACCAGACAAGCATGCCATATAAAATGAAAGTCTTCTGATTTGAAGACAAAATGATTGGTTTATCCATTACACTACGCACAGAAGTGAACTGGAAATCTAATTGCAAAATTTAGGCTCAAATAAACAAACAGGTTTATTCGAAAGTGAGAATTCAAAGTGAAATTCACATGTAAGGTTAGAGTAGCCAAACCAAAAGCATGGCTGACCTAGAGAAATTACAGTTTAATTCGCATTTAAGTGACTAGTTCTGATTGTGTGAATATAGTGTAGTTGGAGATTTATTTCCAATCAGTACGGGATTATTAAATTTTTACTTAACAGCAGTGGAGTAATATATACACACATATTTGTGCATTTTGTAGCACTGGCTGTTAGAATTTTAATTGTTTACTAAATGATGGCCCCTCTGTTTGCCTACTAATGAATACAACTCATCGGTGGGGTCCTTTTAATGGAAGCTACACTGTTAATCATTTTTGTGCTTTCGATTGGCAACATGAGGATCATGTCAAAGATTCACTTACAGTAGGGGTTCCCAAAGCAGTCCTCACATCACTCTCCACCAGCCAAGGACGTAGGGATTATCCAGTTGTATCTAAATTGTTTTTGTTGTTTTCTTCTAAAAACAGCTTACACACAACTGGGTAATCCCGAAATCCTGGACTGGAAGGCGGGGTGCGAGGACTAGTTCGGGAACCACTGAATTACAGCACTCTGGATTTAAACAAATGTTTTTCTAAAATGTTGAGAATCGTAACAGCAACTCTATAATTGAAAATCTTTAAAAAAGAGCAGTGCGTCTTAACATTTTAAATAGCACTTACCACTACAGTGGGGAACTCCCAATACTCACAGACACTAGAGGTACTGCGGGCCGTGATTGCAGAGTGATGGGAGTTACGATCCACAGTATCCTGTGAAGTGGTACCCTTTGATATAGTTTGTTTATTCTACTTCCCCTAACTACAAAAACAATGGGGATGGCGTCATTATGAATGGACCACTAATAAATACAGCCCTATGCAAACATCTAGCAAATGACTGCCACTATTACAAATGTGCTTTGTAGAAAACCAACATTTGTCCGATTAGACTCAGGTTTTCTACTGTTCAAAAGACAACATTTCAAATACTTTACTCAAAGTGAAAGTGAAAGAGATAAAGATCTGAACGCAAGCAGTTTGTAAAGATAACAAATCATACAACCACTTACAATTCTATCATCTGTACGGATCTATCAAGCTTAAAAGGTTACTCAAACCACCATGACCACGTCAGTGATTTGAAGTGGTTATGGTTGTACGAGTACACAGCATGTTTCTGCTTGAAATGGTGCACATGCAGTGATATTTGTAATTGTGTGGAGGGGCTAGTTGCACCCCCACCACACGTAACATTGGTAACCCAGATTTTTGTTCCGTGGTGCCTATTGTAAATTCTGTGCATAAAATACGTCTGCGTCAGCACACATTGCACGCTGCCGAAATGTTAAAATTTTCCTTTGCAGACAGCGTGCCTTTCACCTCCCACCGTCCCTCCCTGTTGGTGCTCCCTCCGTGGCAGATTGCAGCCAGTTATTTATTTATATATATCATGCCATACTAGCCCTTTTAACAACATGCTCACTAACTGAACTCTTCTTGTCTTCTCTTGTGTAACAACATTTATCATGTTTTAACCAACTATATCAATTAACATAATGGTCATAGGCTTGCGCACGGGGTGTGCCGGGGCACACCCTAATCCCTGCGGCACGCCTATATATATTGAGACCGGCAGGGGAGATCTCAGGATCTCCCCTGTCGGCTCATGCAGAGCCGGCGCTATCCGGGCGCCGGCTCTGCTCTCCGCCTCCCTCCCCACTGACCCACATGCAGGGAGGGAGGCAGGAGAGGACCGGCGGAGCTATTGCCGGCAGCTCCGCCGGGTTCCTCTCGCGAGATATGAGCGTTGCCACGGCAACGCTCAAATCTCGCGAGAGTGAACTCTAGCCCCACAGGGGCTAGAGTTCACTCTCCACTGGACCACCAGGGATGGAATCAGCAGCAACAAGGATCCCCCCTCCCTACAAAAGGTAAGAAGGGAGGGGGGATAGCAAGTAATGTACCCCCACCTCCACCCCCCCACAATCACCCACACACACATACAACACACACAGCACATACACATACAGCACCCACAGACATACACAGCACCCACACACATTCAGCACCCACACACATTCAGCACCCACAGACATACACAACACCCACAGACATACTCAGCACCCACACACACACACACAGCACCCACAGACACACACAGCACCCACAGACATACACAGCACCCACAGACATACAGCACCCATACACATACAGCACCCACAGACATACACAGCACCCACAGACATACAGCACCGATACACATACAGCACACACAGACATACAACACCCACAGACATACAACACCCACACACATACAGCACCCACAGACATACACAGCACCCACAGACATACAGCACCCACAGACATACACAGCACCCACACACATACAGCACCCACAGACATACACAGCACCCACACACATACAGCACCCACACACATACAGCACCCTCACAAACACACAGCACACAAACAGCACCCTCACACACACACAGCACACTAACAGTACCCTCACAAACACAAACAGGACCCTAACAAACACACACACAGCACACTACCAGTACCCTCACACACAAACAGCACCCTCACACACAGTACATTAACAGCACCCTCACACAGAGTACATTAACAGCATCCTCACAAGCACGCACACACAAACACCCTCACCCACATAGCACACTACCAGCACCGTCTCACACATCACACTAACAGCACCCTCACACACACACACACACACACAGCAGTGTGTATATATGTGTATGTATATATATATATATATATATATATATATACACATATATATATACATACATACATATATATGCGGCGTGAGCTTGTGCTTTAGGGTACACACCCTAATGCAATAGGCTGCGCACGCCTATGATAATGGTACATTGCTGTCTATTATTGCTTTGTAGGTTTTCTATCCCTGAGTTAAATTGTAATACAAATGTACAAAAAAAAAGTAAAAAAAATAGGAAAAAAGTTCATTGTTATAAATATATCGAGAACCAGGTTGTGATACATCTCTAAAAGTTCTCAAAAAAATATGCCCACTTCGCAGATGTTAAAGACAAAATGTTACAGAGCTAGCAGTTTCCACCAAAGATTTTCCATACTGGGTGTTCCCCCTTCTTGGTGTATTGTATTGTGCTTTTGTCAATATACGATCTGTCTCTGTAACCACATCCCTTAGAATACATACAGCTCTCCCCACACCTTCATTACACAATCAGTGACCTTCATAATCAAAATCTCCATTAAAGGTCAACACATGTCTGTGTAACTCTTTTTATATTTGATTTTTTTTGATTTTTTTTTACCTTTTTTACAAAATCTTAAAACTTGCAGTTACAAGTCAAGTTTTTTAAAGCCCAACTCCTTCCCATTCTCCAAAATGTGGAGTAATTTACTCATAGGATTTGTCTATTCACTGTACCGTACATTGTAAGAAGTTGTTACTATTAACATTTAATTAGCACCGGTACTTTATGCAGTGTTTTACCGTTATTATTGATATTAAAAATGGAAAATAAAACAGCCGGTAATTGAGAACATCAAAAGAGGCGAAGAAAGACAAACATAAAAGCAAGCTAATGTTGGTACGTTATAAATGAATAAATATAAACGGTATCTGGCAATCCTTCAATAAGTAAATCACTCCCATGTACATGTGTGTGTCGTCTAGACTACTGTTATCAAAGAGACATGCTAAGCACCATAACCACATATACATATATATATACAGTTGCAAGAAAAAGTATGTGAACCCTTTGGAATGTTATGGATTTCTGCACAAATTGGTCATAAAATGTGATCTGATCATCATCTAAGTCACAACAATAGACAATCACAGTCTGCTTAAACTAATAACACACAAAGAATGAAATGTTGCCATGTTTTTATTGAACACACCATGTAAACATTCACAGTGCAGGTGGAAAAAGTATGTGAACCCCTAGACTAATGACATCTCCAAGAGCTAATTGGAGTGAGATGTCAGCCAACTGGAGTCCAATCAATGAGATGAGATTGGAGGTGTTGGTTACAGCTGCCCTGCCCTATAAAAAACACACACCAGTTCTGGGTTTGCTTTTCACAAGAAGCATTGCCTGATGTGAATGATGCCTCGCACAAAAGAGCTCTCAGAAGACCTACGATTAAGAATTGTTGACTTGCATAAAGCTGGAAAGGGTTATAAAAGTATCTCCAAAAGCCTTGCTGTTCATCAGTCCACGGTAAGACAAATTGTCTATAAATGGAGAAAGTTCAGCACTGCTGTTACTCTCCCTAGGAGTGGCTGTCCTGTAAAGATGACTGCAAGAGCACAGCGCAGACTGCTCAATGAGGTAAAGAAAAATCCTAGAGTGCCAGCTAAAGACTTACAAAAGTCACTGGCAAATGCTAACATCCCTGTTAGCGAATCTACAATACGTAAAACACTAAACAAGAATGGATTTCATGGGAGGATACCACAGAGGAAGCCACTGCTGTGCAAACAAAACATTGCTGAACGTTTACAGTTTGCACAAGTGGACAGATGAAAGCAAAGTTGAGTTGTTTGGAAGAAACACACAACACTATGTATGGCGAAAAAAAGGCACAGCACACCAACATCAAAACCTCATCCCAACTGTGAAGTATGGTGGTGGGGGCATCATGGTTTGGGGCTGCTTTGCTGCATCAGGGCCTGGACGGATTGCTATCATCGAAGGAAAAATTAATTCCCAAGTTTATCAAGACATTTTGCAGGAGAACTTAAGGCCATTTGTCTACCAGCTGAAGCTCAACAGAAGATGGGTGTTGCAACAGGACAATGACCCAAAGCATAGAAGTAAATTAACAACAGAATGGCTTAAACAGAAGAAAATACGCCTTCTGAAGTGGCCCAGTCAGAGTCCTGACCTCAACCCGATTGAGATGCTGTGGCATGACCTCAAGAAAGCGATTCATACTAGACATCCCAAGAATATTGCTGAACTGAAACAGTCCTGTAAAGGGAATGGTCAAGAATTGCTCCTGACCGTTGTGCACGTCTGATCTGCAACTACAGGAAACATTTGGTTGAAGTTATTGCTGCCAAAGGAGGTTCAACCAGTTATTAAACTTATAGGATTTGTACTTTTTCCACCTGCACTGTGAATGTTTCAATAAAAACATGGCAACATTTCATTCTTTGTGTGTTATTAGTTTAAAGGACCACTATAGTGCCAGGAAAACCTACTCGTGGCACTTCCTGGCACTATAGTGCTCTGAGGGTGCCCCCACCCTCAGGGTCCCCCTCCTGCGGGCTCTGGGGGGAGGAAGGGGTTAAACTTACCTCTTTCTCCAGCGCCGGGCGGGGAGCTCTCCTCCTTTTCTCCGCCTCTTTTCCTCCTCTTCGGCTGAATGCGCATGCGCGGCAGGAGCTGCGCGCGCACTCAGCCAGTCCATAGGAAAGCATTCTCAATGCTTTCCTATGAACACTGGCGTCTTCTCACTGTGAAAAATCACAGTGAGAAGCGCAGAAGCCCTCTAGCGGCTGTCAATGAGACAGCCACTAGAGGCTAGATTAACCCATTTTATAGAAAAAAGGGTTAAACCTAGCTGGACCTGGCACCCAGACCACTTCATTAGCTGAAGTGGTCTGGGTGCCTATAGTGGTCCTTTAAGCAGACTGTGATTGTCTATTGTTGTGACTTAGATGATGATCAGATCACATTTTATGACCAATTTGTGGAGAAATCCATATCATTCCAAAGGGTTCACATACTTTTTCTTGCAACTGTATATGTACATATACATACACAAATATAATATATATAAATATTTATATATACACACTTTAACTATCAATCACATGGACAAACACAAAATGAAAATGTTTAAAATGATACAGACACAAAATGATACAGACACAAAGGGCCACCTCTCCAAGTTTTCCATCTTTGGAGTAGCCACCTATCAGAACCAGAGAATTCTGTGCTACATATATAATGAAATATTTTTTTATAACCAAATATAAAACAAACAATCTTTAAATGAGAAACGAGGAACATGAGCTTTCCAAGCAAAAGCCTAGACCACCCCTACGTAAGGTCTAACAACCTAAGAGATAGAATATATTTTCAAGGGAGGACCTCTTGAAAACACTGGGCCATCACACATCACAAGACCTAAGGAACATGGATGGAAACCTGTTCGTCAATCCAGACACCTGGACATTAACAAGGAGTTGCTCTGTCCTTTGCAGTGGCTTCTTCAGCTTGTGAAATAAGATGAACAGTTTGTGTACTAATTCAGGCAGTTTGAAACAGAGCAAATCATTTTTTTATTCTGTGAGCTTGGCAAAAATATAGACCCTTGTCTATAGATATCTCCACTCTATGATAATAGCAATGACAGAGGATTCTGGCGTATAGCACAACAGACACTGGTCAAGCTAACTTGGTATTCTATAACAGTGTCACTTGAAAAGTCTCTGAGATTATTCAGTACAGTCAAGTCTGAGCTATGGGGAATGCATAGCCAATGCCTTGACTTTTAACACCTGTACGCAATGAAACTAGCTAAGAGCCAAACACACTACTTAGGGTGTCTCTGTACTTTTGGTATTCCAAATATCTCTGGGAAAGTCCTGAATTGCAAACCAAAAATGAAACAATCATTTATCTGTGATACAAAAGAGAACACATGGCAGAAAATGAAAGTTATTTAGATTAAATAGAAACTGTTTCGATGTTATTGTCCCTTTAATATGACATGACCTTACACCGGCAAATTAAAGCAGAGAATGGGTACTGCCATTTAGAACAAGGATTTAAAGTCATAAACTGTCTGGCACTATTTACACCCAAGGAAAGGCAACTAACATGGTTATGGTATTGCTTCCCTCACGTCCTGTGCTGCAGACAACCACGATTTCGACTAGTAATTATTCATAAATTCATGCCCAAAGTACTGCTTCCTAAAATCATATCATCTCGCATTTACAGGGGATTCAACCAGGACTGTGGATTTGGAAGCAGAGCTGTGTAGTTAAAAACAATATTACGTGTAGTCGGAGTTGGTAAAAAATAAATAAAAGGATCGTGATAAAAAAAAAAATAATATATATATATATATATATATATATATATAATATATATACACAATAATTTATGGGGACAAAAAAACATTAATCATGCACATTAAAGAGCACTTTTTAACCTTAATTCAATGAGGAATGTGAGGTATCTTTAACAAATTATATTTAATTGGCTGCTATTTAGGTAGTATCAAAGCATCCAATTCTATTGTAGGATGAACAAATAACTAACACAAACGCTTTGTGAGGTCGCACTTTGGATGAATGGGCTGCCTGAAAATCAGGAAGAAGAACTTAGCAGTAATGCTGGTCTATTATCAACCTCAACGGCTGAAGACGAACTAGATTTTGACAAATAGTTGGATCAAAAGAAGCGTGCGTAGTAAAGTTGCTTAGAAAAAGGAACAAAATTCATTTGTGAAGAATAATTTAGGTGACGTTAAATTTAATATTTCAAACTCACTAAATGAAAATTGACAGCGCAAGAAGTAATTCCCTAATACGCCAAGGTTATAAGAAAAGTTACATCCTGTTTGTAAGAACAAATTCATTCTCAATTTACATTTGGTTTTTTGAAAAGTTTAATTGAAAAAAATTATCTAAAAATTTTTATTTTAAGTAAGTCGTTTCGATTCTTAATAAACTTTTAATCGTGGTTACAACCAATTTAGAGTTTTCATTATTGTAATAACATGAAATATTCAAAATAAATTAAAAAGAGATAAAGTTTAAGTTACTAATGTGAAAGTTTTAAATCTAAAACGTGATCTGATGATTCAGATTGTGGTGATGGAATTCCATTTACTATATTAGTAAGTTTACTGTTATTGATACATAATGAGATTTTATGAAGGAGTTGAAGATTAAAAAAAATTGAGAATTTTGAAGTTTTGTGTTCTCATAGCCTGGCTTCAACAACAGATTATTTAGGGTTTTTTTCATGCCCACTACTTCACATGAGATGGGAAATATACGTTGATTTGTATCATTTCACATTTAATATCAGGTCTACAAACATGAATCTGTAGAGATCAATATTCAAGTAGGTATTTCTCTAAGTCTGTTAGTTCTCATTGCGAGCCACAATTAATTTATAGATGAAATTTATATTTACAATTACACAGTTGGAACTCACAAGCTCAAAATGATTGGAAGAAGCAGGACAAAATGCACAGAAATGGGCTACTAAAAAAATAATACAACGGAAGTATAAAGAAGACATGTTTTGGCTACTAATTTTATCTCATGAATAAAAATAAGAGATGTCTTAGATTAGTAAAAGAGAAACGATTTTAAGGTTGCGTTTGAACATATGGTGAACCAATGATGTTTCTACAGTAGCGAATGTCAACCCTTTGGGTCAGCTTGGGAAAGTGTATTCCAGATTTAAGTCTAAAGTAGCTGTTTTGGACAAAATCTACAAGTCAGCTATGTTCCTAGTTCAGCTATTTTTGCCTATATTTTAAAATTACCTATAATTCTAATTTGATCTCCCAACAATCCACATTTTGGTAAACATACCTACTGGAATTTTATAAGTAAGAGCCTTGGGTCGTAAGTAAGTGCTGAGAGGTCTAGTTGGTGAATATTGTGTTAAGTGCATAGAAAATAAAGAAGTTTTATGGAGTGTTTTCTGAATCATGGAAATTAGTTAAAGGGACACTATAGTCACCTGAACAACTTTACCTTAATGAAGCAGTTTTGGTGTATAGAACATGCCCCTGCAGCCTCACTGCTCAATCCTCTGCTATTTAGGAGTTAAATCCCTTTGTTTATGAACCCTAGTCACACCTCCCTGCATGTGACTTGCACAGCCTTCCATAAACACTTCCTGTAAAGAGAGCCCTATTTAGGCTTTCTTTATTGCAAGTTCTGTTTAATTAAGTTTTTCTTATCCCCTGCTATGTTAATAGCTTGCTAGACCCTGCAAGAGCCTCCTGTATGTGCTTAAAGTTCAATTTAGAGATTGAGATACAATTATTTAAGGTAAATTACATCTGTTTGAAAGTGAAACCATTTTTTTTTCTCATGCAGGCTCTGTCAATCATAGCCAGGGGAGGTGTGGCTAGGGCTGCATAAAAAGAAACAAAGTGATTTAACTCCTAAATGACAGTGAATTGAGCAGTGAAATTGCATGGGAATGATCTATACACTAAAACTGCTTTATTTAGCTAAAGTAATTTAGGTGACTATAGTGTTCCTTTAATTTCAGCTTCAAAAGACTTGTTTCTACACAATTCACAGGGTTCTAAACCAGTTAATTCCTTGTGACTATATGTGGAGGATAAGCCAGTAAGTAAACATGAAATATATTTATTATATTAAATTAGAGGTGACAAATGAATACAGCTTCTGTATCCAAAGCTAAGTACGGTCAAGAAGACTTATGATCGCCAGAAGACAGGACATCAGCAAACTGCATTATGTTCGCAGGTACCCGAGACACAGTAAAGGGACGAAGTATTGGCAAGCTAGAATGATGAATCCTACAATATGATGCAAGCATGGAATGATCACATACAGCTTATGTAAGGACTGTGCAAATGCAGACTTTCATCAGCTAAAGAAACAGTCACAACTTAATTTAGAAGCAATTATATTCACACTGAATTGCCAAGGGATTATCCATGCTAACGTAAGGTACACAGTACTCCAGACACGATTTAACCAAGACATTCCAACTTATTCCTGACCTTTTACCTAAACGGAGGTGTTTCTCCCTAAATAAACAGGTATACTGCTTGAGCCTGACACTCTTATCTCTTCTGTGGGTGATAGTATTATATATCTCAAAAGGATAAACTATCTTGTACCTGGCAAACATCAACATTTCGTAGGAGAAATTAGAAAAAAACAAATCCAAACAGTATTTTGTTATAATAATTTTACCAAAAAAAATAATAAACAAAACATAACGGAACGGTCATAAATAAATACAGATATTTACATTATAGTAGATTCAAATATGAAAGGGATTAAATAACGAGCAAATATAAAATTAGGATTCACTAACTGAACACATTAAAAACACCAAACGAACGAAGACATATGCTGAAGAATCAATGGTGTGATATTAAACATTAAGGGTTATATATGGACATATATTACAGACGTTCCAAAAGGTGATTAAATATATATTATACAGATGTTTTAATAGTTAATACCTAACAAGTTGTTTTTTTAATTATATTTTGAACAGAAAATTTAAATTGTGAGATATTACAAATTTGACCAAAGTAGCAGATATCTTAAAGGAGGGTAAAAATGTAAATATATTATAGAACGATGGTCTTGAATTGTTTTTTATTAAAAAGGAATATTGATGATATATTACATTTAAGAGAGAGCCATATTAACCTCTTAAGGACACATCACACGTGTGACATGTCATGATTCCCTTTTATTCCAGAAGTTTGATCCTTAAGGGGCTAAAGGGGGCTTACAATATGTGCATATATAAGGGTAGGTGTTATATGATCTGAAGTCTGGTTAATTAATTAGAGCAGCAAGCATCTTTTAGTAAAAATATATATGTCTACAAGATGATTAAATATATACCAAACAGGATATTTAATAGTAATTAATTGACACGCTGGGTTTAAATGGCACTATATTCTGAACTGAAAATTAAAATTATGACATATCAAAGATGTGACCAATGTAGCAGATATATTAAAGAAGGGGTAAATATGTAAATATCTCTACAGAGGGTCTTAAATTGGTTTTATTAAAAAAAAAATGAAGATAAATTACATTAAAAAAATAGAATCTTAATTGGGGGGGTGGGTTAAAACATGGGCATATAAAGCACCCTATGGTAGAAATATATTGCAAATACCCTTTAATTAACCCAAAATACATCAAGTCTGGGATGTGTGTACACAGAATGACACCCATAGCCTGATCTGTGTGTAATGGGAAGGTATGGGATACATATGGAGAGAATGGGTGATACATTGCATTCTATGGCTGGTAAACACAGTCCTATAATCTCACCTTGCCCCAGGTCACATGACCTCCCCGCTCTATCTGCTCCCACGGGCCCAGTGCTTGCTGCCGTCCCTCACAGTCTGACCAGGAGATGGGGCAGTGACGTTGCCTGAGCCCACTGTCTGAGCAGGACCTGCTTGGGCTAGCCCCGCCCACTTCCGCCTCTCCGCGCTCGCTGATTGGCCAGCCCGCCCAGCACTCATTGGCCAGCTGCAGTTAAAGGGCTGGGAAGGTGCTGGCAGGAAGTGTTGCATTTGGCCATGTTGCCACATGCAGTGCCATAAACACAGGTCATGGCTGCCAAGTGCCCAGGTGTAAACACTGGCTCTCAGTGACTCTGCCAAGCTCCACAGGCTGGCTGCAGCTCCCATTATAGTCAGGATGACAGTGCTGGCCACTGCTGTCTTTTCATTCCCATTCTGTAACAGAATATAGTGAATATTGGGTTTATTTTATGTTTCACAAGGTCTACTTCAAAATATTGGGCAACAGTGTATATGTTTCCCTGTGTGTAAATGTTTCCCTAGCTGTGTTTGTTTATGTCTGTGTGCACCTTTACAAATGAAATGTGCTGTGTGTGTTTTTTGTGTGTTAATGCATTTCGTGTTTGTTTTGTTTTTCTTCTGTTGGTGTGCACATGCCATGCCTGCTCTCATAATGAGTTAGCATGTGATTGGCCATTAGGTAAGCTGTTTGATAAGTAAGTGTGTATATATATATATGAGTGTCCCTATCATCATTTATTATGTATGAAGCATCAACATTTTCTGCAGCACTGATGTTTGCTGCGTTTCCAACAGCTAGGGAGTGAAGGCAGTATTGTGTAAATAAGCAGACAGGCAATGAGAGCTTAGTCTAGGAGCTTAGTATCTGTCATGTAAAACAATTCAACAAAGTACAGAGATAAATCATTTACAACACACAGGAGATAATAGGAAGTAGACTAAGGGTAGGAAGGAAAGATATTTGAAGTAGAATTTGTATTTTTTTTTTTCAAAATACTAAACAAGGGACAATTTGCTACCAAATGGCATTATTCAATCTGTGAATATAACCAACTTGTATAAGTTTTACAAATACGCTATTTTACTCTACCTTTTGCATGTTTCAAATGTTGCAAATTCATGATTTAATAATAGAAAACTTTCTAAATTGGTGAACAGTGTGTTGGAAGATAATTCAATCAAACTTTTATTTTTCTGGAAGCATCCATAAAGCACTAAAATTGTATCGTTTGTGTTTTGTTTTTACAATGCTTGATTCGTCTTTTCATTTTCTCTATTCTATCTCTTTTTTCCTGGTTTAGTTATTTTTATTGGATCTAAATATTTTATAACAACACGTTTTTGAAAGTTGCTCCTTTTTTTCAAGTCTTTAGGGGGTTTTATTGTCATCATGTGATGTCATAATGAAATTGCATTCATCGTGGTCCATCATGTGACCTCACAATGGGCAGGCTGTGATATAGCGGTATTTGAGTACAGGTGGTCCTCATTTAGCGACCTACATGTTTTACGACAGCTCTCACTTACAACCAGGCGTGAGTGCGAGCCGTTGTGGGGATTCCCTGCTCTGGTGCGTTCGTCTATGTTCAGGGAAACTTCCCCGAATATAGACAAGCGCACCAGAACAGGGAATCCCTCAAATCTATCCCCGAATATAGTTTAGAGGGGTTCCCTGCTCTGGTGCGTTCGTCTATGTTCGGGGAAGTTTCCTCGAACATAGATGAACGCACCAGAGCAGGGAATCCCTTAACTCCTTACTTACCGACCAATTTGTTCTACGACCGGGTCGCAGGAACGGAATCCGGTCGGTAAGTGAGGAGTGTCTGTAGGATGTCAACACAGAAATTAACATTTATCCTTAGGGATGAATAAGAGTGTAAGACATTTGATTATACATCACAATTAAACTTTTTGCCAACAAGTTGGATAGTGAACATTGAAAAAGAGTAAACCAATTGGAATTTAGATGAAGAGTAATAAGGCTGTAAAACTAATCAAATAAAATTAATGGATGTGGATCAACAAGCACCTATCATTGTGGAAGTGCATAAATATATAGGTATGTTTTCCCGAATTACTATATCATAATGAAATATTTTACAGGGGAGATGGGGGAGAGAGTGAAATGACAGAGATAAAAGGTAAGGGTTTAATGTCAGAAAAGTAATATCCAGGAGAAATGGAGAAAGACACATCCCGGCAGGGCATATTGAGGAGACAATTCAAATAAAGTGATATTGGGAGGATAGAGCCACAAGGCAGGAGAGGTTGAGAAGACCACCATCATGCACAAGAGATTGGAGACACATAACTAACAATCAACAGAGATTGGGGAGACAGAGCCATAACGTTTTGTCTCGATGTGTATTTTTCCACTAGATTGTAAACTCACAAGATTTCTTGCACAGTACCTTGCATGAGGTTGAAGTCCACAGGCAGGGTTCTTGTTCTGCTGTTAGTGTGTCTAATTATTTTTTCCCCTGTCTATATAATTACTAGTGTTCTTTTAGTGTGAATTATAAAATGCTCTGGGTAAGAACGCTATAAAAGGACTATTAATTAAACTTCCAGATGAGATAATGATTTTGGAAACATAACTAACAAGCACGGAATTGGGGAGATAGGACTGCCATACAGGAGATATTGGGGAAAACTAACTAAAATAAATTGGGAATAAAATCAAGATAATTGAAATAGTTGGAAAACATGATATGTAGGTAGAAGATACTTAAAGGGACACTAAAGTCAGCAAAACCACTTTAGTTTAATGAAGCAGTTTTAGTGTATAGATCATTCACTGCTCCATTTTCTGCCATTTAGGAGTTAAATCACTTTTGTTTCTGTTTATGCAGCTCTAGTTACACCTCCCCTGGCTGTGACTGACACAGCTGGCATGAAAACAAAATGGTTTTATTTTCAATCAGATGTAACTTACTTTAAATGTTTTTATCTCCTGCTCTGTAATTTTAACTTTAATTACATACAAGAGGCTCCTGCAGGGTATAGCAAGCGTGGTTTCTTGTCCCTTGTTTTTTTATTTAATTTTTTTATTAAGCAGTCTGACAAAAAATTATGTATTTCGGGGGATGGGCGTGGCTGACCACCGAGCAAGATGGCCGCGTAAATCTTAGCTCTGGCACATGGGCTCCACAACTTTTAAATATTAACAATCAGGAACGCCATATCAGAAATCCTTAACCTACTAACCTGCAATGACGCAATCCAAACCTAAGAAAACCGCTGCAAAAGCGGACAAATTGAGCGTTTCGGCCAAAAAGGAGTGACAGCATCTGAGGCCGCACGGCTAACCACGCAAGATGGCGCTGAAAAATACAACGCGGAAAGCGCCCCTCACACGGAAGAAGAACCCCGTTCGCCAGAGGGCCTCACAAGAGATTACTTTGAGAGGGCCATGGAGGCTATGGCAGAAAAACTGATTTCCACCAGGAAATCAACGGCGAACCAAATTAAGCAGGAGGTACGGGACCTCTCCTCCAGAACCTCCCACGTGGAGCAACAATGCCAGGACTTAACATCTCAGCAAACAGAAACAAAAAAACACCTAAACAATTTACAACAACAACTGGAGGCAATGGAAGTACGCATGGCAGACTACGAAGACAGGGCATGACGAAACAACCTATGATTAAGAGGAGTCCCAGAGCCGGTACTCCCAGACGACCTACAGGTCTATGTGAGAGGCCTCCTCCACTTATATGCCCCAGGCATCCCAGCGGACATGCTCCTCATCCACAGGGTCCACAGGGTCCCCAAGCCCAGGTACTTACCAGACTCCCTTCCACGAGACGTCCTTCTCCGGGCGCACTACTTCCACATCAAGGAGTTGGCCCTCAGAACGTACCGCAGCAAACCGAACCCGCATGAGGATTACCCCATGGTGCGCATCATGGCGGATCTCTCCGCGGCAACACTCAGACGAAGACGGGAGTTCCAACAGATTACGGCAACACTCCGAGATCAAGGAATTCGGTACAGATGGGGCTACCCAACAAAAATTTTACTCACACATAATAGAGAAACAAAGTCCTTCTCCACCCCGGAGGAAGGCCTAAAAATGCTCAAGGACTGGGGGCTACCTGCCTCGACATCAAAAGGGCCGTTACCCTCTTCCAGACAGACCCGCAGGCCCCAAGTGGTCTAATCGGACTGTATGATTTAAGGCATAACTTGCCGTAAACATTCAACGACAAGCAGTCTACGATAAGCATATACAATAAGTAAACCTACCAGTGTTACTGTTTTATTTTGTTTGAGTTAACAAATGATGATTGTGCAAATAACCTTGTCAAAAACCTCGGGAAGCTAGTCAGAGGGCCATAAAACTTTTTAAAACTACTACATGGCTACTACCAAGGGCTGCTACCCCTCCGGTAACACGGCTAGAACCACAATATAATGGCACCAAAGCACACTTGGGCATTAGCAGAGAAGACTGGGCGGGAGGGAGATACTATGGCTTTTAGCCACTGATAACCACCCCTAATGCACCCATAGCCCTGCGGCAAGCAATAACGTCGCCATAAGGGGCCAATAGGGCGGATTGAGAATCTAAACGCTTACAACCGAACCTGCCCGATGGTGGTGTAAATACCACCCCCCCCCCCCCATGAGAAAATTAGCAACATGTCCAACCCTATTTCTAAACAATAACAAGCCCAAAAAATGGATGGGCAAGAAAAATACCTAGCACAGCCCATTGCAAAGGTTTACCTATAAAGCACACAGCATGACTTAACCACCTTATGCATTGTTCTGTTATAACACCATATGTACCTATCGAAATGAATGCTTGTAAAATGTTTTATGCACATTGTTTACGCACTATGTTACAAATATATATGTTCCTGTTACACTCACTACCAAAACGGAGCCCAAGCAGCCACTGCTTGGAAGTTTAAACTCCCATCCCCCAGGTGTGACAGACACACCTGACCCCTCCAGGTCCAAGCACCCACGTCCTAGACCAAACCCTGACACCCCTCCCTAAAACCTTGACCCCACTTTGCCCTACAGCGAGAACAAGGCTCAACCCCGTAACTAAGCCTCCACAACTCTTAGCATCTCTCACCCCAGCCTCCAATACCGACCACCATGAAACTATACACGCACAACGTTAAAGGACTTAACACGCCCCACAAAAGAC